GCCCTGCCTGCACGAGTAGGTTTGGTTCAGTTTCCTGTAAGAGAGGGAAAAACATCACCTATTTGTCATACACTTGCCCCAAATCAGGAGAACAGATTCAGCTTTCCAGTAGCAACCCTTTTACCTGCCCAGAGAAATACCACTAAAAAATACTACATGCAGGGGGCTAGAAAGGCCCTATAAAAGGTTCTATAGAAGTAACTGATTTACTATCGCTAACTTACTATTGCTAGAACACTGGAAATGTGAGCTTCTCCCCAAACATTATACCTCACTTTAAGTTTCTGGTGTCTCTCTCTCCCCACTGCCCCCAAATCATCCTATCATTTTAGGAAGAGCTATTAAACATACATGCTTTGTCGACACCCTGAAAAGTAATCACAGCCCAAATTCTTTGAAGCGGTTACACAGGTGCACGGTGTCCTCTTTCCCACTCCCATTTTTTTGTGGTTTGTTTCCTGTTCTGGAAAATCCAGTTATATAAATGCAGAAAGCAAACATGTGAACACTGAGTAGTAAACATTCAAACTCATTACTTAGTCTCAATCACCCTTTCAAGACACTACAAACTAGAGCCACCATTATACCCCTGCCAAGGCCAGAACCCAAGGCTGTTCCAGAAAATCTGATGAGGTAGGACCATCCACCTCCTCAACCAGCCTGAGATCTTGTCTCCTCTTCACCAAGGGTGGTAGAGCTTTGGTTTTGTACCCACAGGGGCTTGACTCTTGCCTCATTAACACCCAATGTAACCAAATGTCTAGTTCAGGAAAGATGGAGTTTTGAGGCTCAGAAAAATAAGACCACATTTGTCTTGTATACAACTATTCTTATATATAAATCCAAACACAATTATACTAACTCTATGAAAACCACATGGGATTATCCAATTATTGACTAGATAAACTGGAACTTAAAGCTATTAGAATGAAACAGTGCAACTGAAATCTAGCTGCCGACCATCTTCATAACCTTGGAATGACAATTATTACTTAAACCCAAAGTTAAAATTTTGTTAAAATTCTGATTTACGTTGTACACAAAAGTCACTATAAATGAAGGTAAAAAGCAAATGACTATAGACTACAAGAAAATGTTTTGCAATATATTAAACAGAAATCTATCCAGATTAAATTAATAAAATCCAAAATCGATATGAAAAATAACAACAGAAAAAGAGGGCAAAGATTAAGGATAAGCAAACAAAAGAAATCCAAATGGCCAGCAATTACATTTTTGAAATGTGCATCCTCACTAGTCATCAGGCATATACAAACTAAAATGAGATGTTGCTTCTCCCTCAGATTGGCACACATTTTTTTACATTCCTCACCTGAGGACATGTGTTTTGATTTTAGAGAGAGAAAGAGGGAGGGGGAGTCGGGGGAACAAACCCACAACCCCACAACCTAGGTATGTGCTCTGACCGGGAATTCAACCCACAACCTTTTGGTGCATGGGAGGATGTGCCAACCCACTGAGCCACCGGGCCAGTGCTGGCACACACTTTTAAAGCTGTATCCTTCAAATTAGAGAGAATCTAGCACATAATGGATTAAATGAGATAACCTGGACCACAGAAGGCAGCTACTTTGTAATGATGCATATTGGGCATTTGTATCTCACATTTTGTGACCTGCCTATTCATGCACCAGTGACAGGTATGTAAAGGGGTAAAATCACTCCAGGAAATGACTGGATAGTATCTAGTAAAACTGCAAATTTCAAAGCCCACTGCCCAGCCACACTGCTTCTGGATATAGTACTTAGAGAAATTTCCAAACTTATCTAAATCCAAGGAAACACACTGGAGATTGTTCACTGTCACACTGGGTATAATAAAAAAAATTATAATAGGGAAGGAATGAAAGTGTAGCCTCTTCAAATTATGAACCAGCATATAGCATTTAAAAAGATTTAACCAGACTTAAATGAGTTAGCATGAAGAGAACTTAAGTAAACACAAGTTGACAGGGGAAAAAAGCAGGTGCACAATACTTACAGCATGATATAGTGCTAAAATTTAAACCACCACAAAGCAATATAATGTTGGGGATGTATACAGGTGTATACATATACAAGTAACCTAAACCCACAGCAATGGCTGCTTCTTAGAATGGGAAGGAGAGGGGTGACCACAAGGGACTTCAGTCTCAGCTGAGATGTCTTCCTAAAAAAAGGTAGAGGAGTCAAAAGTAAATATGACAAAAGTCTTTTTGGGGGGGGGGCGGGTAGGAATATGCTTGTTTTATCATTTTTATCTTTCATTTCTTAAATTCCACAAAATGAAAATTCCCCTGCCATGTCAGACTACCAGGATGAACAAGATGGCTGGATTCCACCATCATGTCTGTTGTCCCAGGAAAGCTGAGCTGAAAAATGCAGCAGCGAGCAAGGAAGGACTCAAGGGTCCTTCCATGTCTGCTCCACTTCCTTCTATATATTCATCAGGACTTTTTACATTTCCACTAACAATGCTAGGAATTTACCTTGAATTACAACTCCAGTTAATTTACCCTGTGACATGCCTTTGAGTTTCCTAGTTACACAAAAGTCTTCTGTTACCTTCGTTCCTAGAGCTGAACTACACACACGCATACATTACAGTTCCCACGAGACCACAACACAGGTTTGCCAGATTGATAGAGAAACTCCTCAGAGCACAGTGGAACATCTGTGATGAATTTTTTTTTTAAGATTTTGTTTGTTTTTAGAGAGAGGAAAAGGAAAGGAGAAAGAAAGGGAGAGAAACAGCAATGTGCGAGAGGCAACATCGATCAGTCTCCTCTGGAACGCCTCCCAACTGGGGACCTGGCCCACAACCCACATATGTGTCCTGACCAGGAATCAGGCCGGCACTCAATCCACTGAGCACACCAGCCGGGGCTGAATCTGGGTCTTCCAGGTGTACAAAATACAAAACAAAGCAAATGGAAATCACAGATAAAGAGAAAATGGAACTTTTTTTGCCTCTATTTCAAAATGTCAAAGGAAATTTACTTGCCACATATATGAGAAAAGGTTAATATTGCTAATATTCAAAGAGTTCTAACAAATTTGTAAGACAACAGACTCCCTGCCCTGGCCAGTGTGGCTGGAGTGTAATCCCATGAATCAAAAGGTCATGGGTTTGATTCTCAGTCAGGACACATACCCAGGTTGCGGGTTTGATATCCAGTTAGGGCACATACAAGAAGGCAACCAATGTTTCTTTCTCACATTGATGTTTCTCTCTCTCTCTCTCTCAAAAGCAATAAAAAAAAAGTCCTTGTTTACGGATAAAAAAGGAAAGCAGTAATAGATTCCCTAAGAGGACAAGAGAGAAAACAAAACAAAACAAAAAAAATAACAACCCACAAATAAGAAATTCACAGGAGGTGAAATAAAAATGGCCAAAAGCCATGTTAACACCTATCATTTAGAGAGTGAGGGCTTCACATGCATCATCTCATTGAATCCTATGGGACAGCACTTCCCACTACCACTTGGGCAGGTGAAGCAGCCTATCCAGGATCCCTCAGTGGATACACAGCCCACCCCTATGACTCTGAATCCGGAGTCTTGGCCATTGAGGTTTACAGAAGAGAGATGAGGAGCTGATCCCCTTGTTAGGGGGGGATTTGAGAAAAGAGGCCTCCTCATGCAGCCTCCCTGGCGGTGTGAATTCCAACAACTGGGCAATGGGTACCTAAGGTGTTACGAATGTGCACATCCCACTACCCACAACCCTGCTTTGGGAAATGTGCACTAGGAAAATAATCTCAGAAGTCCTAGAGGATACATGTAAGTCCCATGAATTCCCATGAAATGCACAAAGGCAGTCTTGACAGCACTGTTCATGACAAGAAAAAAATTGCAAATTTAAAAACCTACCAGTAAGGGAAGTAGTCTGTGGCCTATGTATGCGGGGGAATAATATTACGAAGCTTTTTATACTAAACTGCCTCTAAGAGAATACATACAGTATGATCTCATTTAAGTAAAAACATGTACATGACTTTATATTTGTATATGGAAAGATGTTTTCCAAAAATTTAAGTTTATCTTTGATTGTAGGGGCTCTGATGATTCTTACTTTTTAAAAAATAAGTTTATTTGAGCTAACTTGATGACATATGCCAAGGAAACGCTTCAAATGCTCCCTGATGATTCTTACTCTCATCGTCTTGCTGTTCTGCGCTGTTTTTGCCTATCCTGTTTACCAATACCTGAGAGCTTATTGAATATCAAAGATCTGTTAACGTTTAAACGCAGAGAGCCTTGTACTCTGGATTAAGTAAACCTTTCCTCCTAGGATTTGTTACAAAACTAACTACCCACTATTCTCACCACTGCCACCAGCACCCCTGAGTGGGACAGCAACCTCTCTGGCACTGCCCGCTCCACTCACCTTGCACAGATGCACTCCTTTCCTCAGGAGACCCTCCAAACACTCGGCCCCCTCTGCTCCCTACTACTCAAGCTCACCCTCATGCTCTCCCCAGCTTCCCCCCCCCCAACACACACACAAACACACCCCCGCCCCCAAAGGGCTGGGGAAACGGAGGGCGCCGGGCGCCGGCGGACATCAGCGGACGTCAGCTTACTACCCTGACCGGCCTAAACCTCCAGGGTCTCACACCTACAGGGACCACCCCTCAACCCCAGCCCCAGCTGGCGTCACTTCCCTTGGCTCCGCTGCTTCCAGTCTTGGCAGCTGAGAGACCACTCCACCCTCTCGGAGCACCCCAATGCCCACCGGGAACTTTACTTCACCCACACTCCGTGCCCTGGATCTGCTGTGGGCCCCCTGCCCCCCCACATCGCACAGCAGGGTCTGCCCTTTGGAACCCCCATCTCTGGCAAGTCCCCATCCAGGGCCCATGGGGACCCAAGACTCCGAGTCCCCTCCAGGCCGAACCCCTCGCGCAGCCGAAACCCTGCCCATGGGACCCCCGAACTATCGCAGATATCTATCGAACCCCCATTCCAGGCCCATACCCCCAGTACAACGCACTCACCCTCCCGACAGCGCCGTCTCCAGATGGTGTCCGTGTGCAGGATGTGACGGAACTTGGTGCAGACCTGAGCCAGGCTCGGGAGGTCTGTGCCTGGTAGCGAGGCGAAGATCTCCACCAGCAGCTCTGGAGGCAGCTCCAGCAGGGAGCAGCGCGGGGGCGGCGAGGGGCTAGCGCTCCGGCTGCTCCCCCCACCGCACAGCACTGCCGCGCCAGCCTCGATGCGCTCCTCCTCCGGGTCTGTGTCCGGTTCGCTGTCGGCCGCCGCCGTTTCGGCTGGGCCCCGGCGCTGCTGGCGACGCCGGCATCCCCGGGAAGGGCCCACGCCGCAAAGACGAGCACACACCGCCATGCCGGTCAGAGTAACAGCTGCTGTGGTCGCGCGTGCGCTGCGCAGCTGTGAGCCGCCCCGCCCCACCCGGGCCAGAGCCCAGCCAGCCCCCCAGGGCCTAGTCACGCCCACTTACAGCCTAGCTTCATTTACCACCCCCCACATACCCCTCCATCTTGTCTAGGCCCCGCCCCCTAGGAGGGACCCACAGAGGACCAGCCCCCGCAAGCCCCGCCTGCCAGGGGGGCGACGTGCGGGACCCTTTCCTAGCCGCTGGCGACTCCCTAGTGGCCCTGGCATCGCCTCACCTGAGGTCTGAGGGCCTCCTGTCCGGCTCTCGGAACAAGCACAAGTAAAGAATGTCACCCACAAACGTGTGACAGCTGTCCCTTCCCAATCGAAGATAGGCTGGTGGGTAGCAGGATGGTGCGCTGTCTGCTGCGGCATCTGAGGACCAAACTTGCTACCTCTAGAGTATGGGGCTGACGCGCTCCCCACTGCACGGACCAGGCTTGCAGAGGCCGCCCCTCACCTGGAGTGCCTCCAGATGTGTCTGCCGTCCCAAGGATGGCCCTAAGGACCATCCCCCATGGTCCTGAGGACCCCCCACCTCAACCTTCCCCTGAGGACAGCTGCAGGGACTGGCCCCCAGGATTCCCCAAATACACCTTCCTCCCCAGGAATCCCCACCCCCACCCCCTGGAAAGCTCCGGATGACCCCCAAGGACTGCTGCACACAGAAGGTGTGATTAAGTGGCAGGAGGAACCAGTGCCAGTTGTTAAAGCCCTACAAACTAGGTGAGCAAAATAGAACCCTGAGTTGTGCCTGCCAGCTCTTTTATCTAACAACTAACATTCACTCATTACAGCGAAAGGGGAAATCATGATAGCTGATGAATCCTGTGTCACCTCTCAGTGATCTTGTTATATCCCAGTTACCTTGTTCACTGTGCTCCAGGGCAGGTGGGTTCTAGAGAATCTGTAAAGCCACCTGGGATAATGGCTTCACCTTAAATTGCTCATAACAAGGAACTGTTGTTATTAGTTGTTTCCAGAGAGAAGGGCCTGGGGTGTGGACCCAACTCCATTCCGGTCAGACTTACTTCAATGACCCGAAGTGCTGCAGAAGCTGCCCAGAATCTAAAGCACAGGTGGCAAACACAAGTCAACCCTCCACCTTGTTTCTACTGGCGGCAGCGCTGAGCTCCTTGCCCCTAGTTAAGGAGTAGTTCCATTTATACAGTCCTAAAATTACATTCGGCCCTTTGAAGGCAACTGTGAGGCTGATGTGGCCCCCAGTGAAAATGAGTTTGACACCCCTGGTCTAAATGGAAGCTAAGAATCCACAGGCCACCCCAGTGTTTCTGGTCGAGTGTGGGGTCTTGCTAATCTAGTAAAAAAAAATAGGAAGCTTGCCAGTTCCCCGGGGCCCAGTCTCCACAAAGTCCTGGCTATCCAGTACCACCTCCATAAAGAAATCTCGAGCAAAAAAAAGGGGAGCCTACTCTAGTCCGTAGAATCCCATAAATGGGGAAGTACATTTCCTGGTAAAACTAACAGTACCTTAGTTAAAATTTTGACCTTCTCAGGTCCACATAATTGAAAAACAACAGCAAACAGAGATGGCCTCCCTGCATCTAAAAGGTTTTTCCGTCCCTCCTGTGCAGTTACCAGAACTCACTAAACAGCAACAAACAAAAGCAGACTCATCCCATGTAAAAGTACTCAGTGGGCCCATGGACTCCTTATCACACCACACCGAGCAGCTCACTGTCTGGTCCTAACCTCCCAGCCTGGTCTCACCTCCTTCCCCACATGCATCTTTCAATGCGAGCCACCAGATTCCTTAGCCATAATTCACTATGCCTTCTCACCTCTCTGTCACTTTGCTCAAGCTGTCTCCTCTGCCAGGAAGTCCCATCTCCCCAGTCTGTGTCATTAAAACCAACCTGTTCCCTCTTGTCCTCTAAGGCACCCCCCTTCTGGGAAGGCTAGTCCCTTTATTACAGCATCATCATATTTTATTGTAAACATTTGCTCCCTTTGGAACCAGCTTTATTAATGTATCCTTTGTAACATGGTAGATAAACCAACGTTTCAGGTAATAAAGGAATGTTTACTAACTAAATGTTTGTAGAATGAAAACAAACTGGGTAAAAGATTAAGCAGGGAGAAATATGAGCCAAACAGATGTAGAGAAGACTGGCGGGTTATCACCATCACCATCCAAGCTAAGAAGTATCTCAGCAATGTATCAACTAACATAATAAACGTTTACAGAATGCCTGACTAGCCTAGGTGCTATGTTCTGTGTGGATCCATATATTCTAAAGCATGATCCTTGCCACTGTTACATTTCAGTCAGTTTGTTGAAGAACATATCTATTCCTTACTAGGTCCTATTAATAAAATAAAACTTTCTTCTAGAGGAGCTTAGAGTATATAAAAATGTACAAAATAATTTGCTCAAGTGCCCATCTTTAGTAGAACGGTTAAACTATTACATGTTGATAATTTGAAATATACAACTATACAGTTAAAAAGCATATCTATGTATTCTTTACAGCAGGAAGTCTGTGTACAGTAACTCCCAAAGATGCTGAAGGACGGCGCTGGTGTAGACCACCAGAACAGAAGAAAGAAGGAACAGAACAGGCTCTGTCACCATCAGAGCCTGGGTGACCCATGTTGGCGTAAAGGAACCAGAAGGGAAAGATTTGCACATAGCAGAGAACTGTTACAGGTTGAACCCTGAAAGTTTTATTTGTCCTTGAACAATTTTATAATCCCTTATATACAACTGTATCCTTTACAAAGAACACTAAGGAGGGGGCATTCATACTGAAGTGAGGAAAAAGTAGGTAGAAAAGATCGTTTGTTTTAACACTATGAGACTACAATAATCAACTCTTCATTAGTGAAAACTGATAATATCTAAGGAAATAAGAAGAATACAGGGGAGGGCATTTTCCAATTGGTGGTAAGCAATGGTAACTTTACTCACACTGTTTTTCAGAATCCAGATGTGAAAAAAATGTCATCTTATCATTGCTCAGCAGAAACAGTCAAGGTGACTGGAAAGAAGGGAACACATTCAAAGGCTAAACAAGAGGTTCATGGTTTAAAATGAAGAGTCTGAACAGTTACATCCCTTATATGGGCAAAAGCTGAAAAAAACAGCAATCCTTTGAAGTGTGTTAGAATTAAACAAGCAACAATAACAACAACAAAAAAAAACTGTGGAAAGTCACCCAGTCCCATCAGCTGTTATTCGTTTATTTAAGAAATAATGTTAGGTTATGTGTGATTTATGGTGGCTTTCCTGCGAGCACTAGGTCGCTGTTTTCTTAAGTTTTACCCCAGAGGCAGAGAGTCACCGGGGAGGAAGCACCGTCTTCCAAAACCTCCCAGGAGCGACTGAAGACACTCCCACTGCACTGCACCTAAGGCATGCCAACTTCAAAATCCTCCTGACTGAATCCTTTCTGAGAATAGCTCCAGCACTCCTCTTGAGCAATACTTGTTTGTTTACTTGTTCAGAAGAGCAAAGAGATAACACAAGACTGACTGGACCACTGGCCAATAGTGGCCCAGACAACTTCCAGGGTGAAACCTGTCTTCCAATCAGAAAGAGGAGAGGTGGGTCGGGCCAGGCGGGCCAAAGGAGGTGACCTGCTTCTCAATGTGACTTGCCCTCCATATTGAGTGTGGCAAAAATAACCCTTCTGTGTTCTAGACTGCAGGTTCATGTCTCGTGCCCCATTTTATAGATTCTTAGAAATAGCTAGATGGCACGATTTAAGCCATCTGGCATCACTAATGCTGGGATGTCATATTCATTTTTTTCTCAGTTAAATTATGTCCCCCACAATTATGGTCATTTAATGTTATGAAAAAAGGAATAGGGCGAGAGTTACTTAAAACTAACAATGCTTGGCTTTCTACAATGATTATTTGATAGTTTAAAAGTACCATGAAATTCCTGGAAAAACACTAAATAAATTTCAATGAAAGATGTGCTTTTGCTTTTTCCCTTTATATGTATTGTTTTAAGGAACAGTAGTATTTATGTTATTTATCTAAAAACCAATTATACTATGCTTATATTAGCTAGTATAAAATAATTCATGAATAATTCATTTACCACTCTGACTATTAACTACAATCAAACTTCTATTAAATTGCAATCTGGGGCACAAGAAATTTTTCACCATATGCTTAAGCACACTTGTTTTCAAAAGTTACATGAAGTCACTTTCTTTTTTACTGGTTTTAGAGAGAGAGGAAAGGGGAGAGAGAGCGAAAGAGAAAAACATCAGTTTGTTGTCCCACTTATTTATGCATTCATCAGTTACTTCTATTATGTGTCCTGCCTGGAGATCGAACCCAAAACTTAGGTGTATCAGGATGTTGCTCTAACCAACCTAGCTACCCAGCCAGGGCCTGAAATAATATACTTTAAATATAATTTGCTATTTATTTGAATATGCTAAAGTGGAGATTATGTTTATGAGACACCCATACTGTACACATCAACTGTATTGGATAATTTTCTGAGAAATATGTAGGGATCTGTGGTTTTAGACTGAAGTAGGAACTTAAGGTTAGGGGTTGGACTATAACAGCCACTGTAAATGTGGACTTCAGTGCTTGAAAATGACAAGGAGTAATCACATCCCATCACTAGCACAGGCCTTGAGGCTAATCCCCTGAGGCTCTGACAGTGAACCCAAGGCCTCTAGTAATTTGGTATGTACGCCCAAGGGACCAGGAAAACAGGAAGCCCTTCTGCCCCTCTCCCCACCTCCATATGCCAGATAATGGATTTCCCCCCTTCTTGCATTTGAAACGGTTGTCCAGCAAGAGAACAAGAAGTCCATTTCTTACGAAGTAGCGCTAAGCTAAGAAAGCACTCACCAGCCAATACTTACTATCATAAAATATCCTTTTTGACTTCAAACTGATCATTTTATGTTGGGCAGAAGGTAGGTACATAATAAGCACTTACTGGATCTCACAGATATTTTTTCCAGTCCTCACAGAATAAACACAAAACAACAAAGAGAGTACACTTGGGAGCTTAAAACCTTCCTTTGGAACTTTGGAAACCTGCTGAAATGTCTAAGTACTATCAGATTTTGAAAGCAAAGAACTGTGACAGAGGGACAAACACCTGGGAAATAAAGTGACACATGCACAGATGTACTGTTCTGTTGTGGACAGTGGGAGAATAAAGAGCCACAACTAACATCATTGTTCTGGTGGGGGGAATAATTAATTACACGAGGATCTCCAACATGCTTGCTTGCTATAAAGAGAGAAATCCCTTTGTATTAAAACCACTTTGAGAAAAGCATCTTAGAAAGTTGGGTATGTTTGTATAATAATGTATATTAGCATAATCCAATTTCCTTATCAAACAGGCATACAAGAAAGGCTTTTCCAAACGAAAGGGTTGCGGGGGGGACCTGAAAATGATGCTGATCTTACAAAGCATTAGATATTGAAGAGCAAAAACAGCGAAAGAATCAAGTGCTGTTGAAACAGATGTACGTTCATCAGATGTTGAGATGGGGAATAACTGAACTAATAACTAAACACTGCATAGTGATCTAGATTCTACAGGCTTTTATTTGCTCCTCAAAACTCACTTGGAGTTCTAAAATATCACCCTTTACCCGAGTCTGAGACTTCGAAAAAACGGCTTATTCAAGGTTGCTCAGCTCGTCAGTGGCTGAAGTGAGTAAGACTCAGCATTTGAGGACTGGAAAACCCCCCTTAAGTGAAATCAGCACACTAGTGACGTGGGGCAGGCCCTCTGCCGCAGGCACGGGCAGGCGCGCAGGGGCCTCCAGAAGTCACCTAAGGGCTGCAGCGTCCGGTCCAAAGAGGAACTCACCCGATGGGAAGGTCTCAAGCTCAAACAATTATCCTTAGACTTTCTTCCAAGTTAAATTCCAGTAAACAAAACCTGAAAAAAACAGCTGCAGGTCTTTCCTACTTCGGACAACGTGTGACAGAAGTTACCAGTGGAGATTCTTAAAATTAAAACACACACATACAACTGAACATACTTGGTCCGGAAGGCCAATGAAAACAAACAAAAAGTTTACACCTCAGAATAACCAGCAACTCCCAGATCGGCGATACTCGTGCAGCAGGAGCACAAAAGGACTCTGTTTTCCAGGAGGAATCTTTGAGAGTCACCAGCACCGAGCGCTGGAAACATCGGTGCACTAACCCAGAGCAGCTGGCCAAGAGAGGCGGCGCGGCAGGGTCTCCGGAGGTCGCACCCGGCCTCTCCTTGGGGCGAGGGACAAAGCGGGTAGCCTGGGTCCGTCTCGTTCCCCCTCCCTCCCGCAGGCCCCCACGACACGTCCCCACTGGGCGCCGCCAACTCAGACGTTCGCCGCGCGTGCGCCACCCCACTTCCGCCACGCTCGAAATGGCGGCCGCGGCGGCCGCCCTCCGCCCCGCCTCCGGGGGCGGTGCGCTAGTCACCTGACGCGGCTGCAGGCTGAAGAGACACAAGAGAAGTCGCTGTCGCCACTGTCGCATCCGCCGCCACCTGAAGCTTCCGGGACCGTCTGCCTCGCCGTCCCTTCTGAGCCTCCCGCGCCATGCCGTCGGAGAAGACCTTCAAGCAGCGTCGCACCTTCGGTGGGTGCCGCGGCCGGGCCGGGGCCCGGAAGGACCGCGGGGCCGAGGCGCCGGGCCGGGGTTTGACGGGGGCCGGAGCGGGCTGAGGAGCCGAGACGACGGGCTGGGCCGGAGAGGGCCGGGGGTTGGCGGGGGCCGGGGAGGGCGAGGAGCCGCGCCGGAGGCCGCGGGCTGACGGAGGGCCCGGCGCGGGAGACCCGAGCGGCCCAGACGGCGGGCTGGGCCCCGCAGGGCCAGGACTGACGGGCGACCGAAAGAGCCGGGGAGCCGAGGCGGCGGGCTGGCCCGGGGCCGACGGAGGGCCGGGCACCGCAGGGCCGACGTGCCGGGGCGGCGGGGACCAGGAGCCGGGCCGGGTTGAAGGCTAGGGGCTGGGGGCTGGGTGGCGGAAAGCCGAGGGGCCGGGCCGCGGAGCTGGGGGTGCGCGCTCGGGGCCTGACGGGCTGCGCACCGAGTCCGGCGACTGACGGGCGGAGGGTTTTCGGGGAGGGCTCGGAGGGCGGCGGACCGGCGGGCGGCGGACCGGCGGGCGGCGGACCGGCGGGCGGGGGGAGGGGGGCGGGGCGTGAGAGCCGGGCCCGGGGCGTTCACACCTGGCCGGCCGGCGCGCGCTTGCGCGGAGCTGCGGAGTCGCCGGGCGCCCCTCGTCGGCGCTCCTGGCTAGGGACGGGGGTGACTGTCCGTCCCAAAAGTGCGAGTCCTTGAAGGAATGTCGGACTCGTGGGGAGGCTGTCCTGGACGCCGGCAGTGCCAGGCCCTCTGAAGTGGCTGGTGGCCCTGGGATGCAAGTGAGTCACCTCTAGGTGCGTTGTCCTGGTCGCCTGTGGGCAGAAGGAAAGAGTGCCGTGGTCAAGGGGAGGAGTGGAAACGGGTGAGCCCCGAGTCTGCCGTCTCTGCGTCCCGGCGCCGGCCCGTGCACAGCGGACGTGCCGGGACGTCTCGTGTCGGTTCGTGGCAGGAGAGCTGGGGCGGGGGTCGCCTTTTCCCGGGCTCGTGGGGACATTCTCACTCTTACACCGCCTACACCTCAGATCAGGTCTCCTTCGCTGTAGACGGCAAACCCCGCTTAGGTTTGCTGGCACTTGGTTGACAATGAAAGTAGCATCACGATAGTGACTCCTCCACAAAAATGACGAGAACGAAGGGATTAGTGCTCCTTTTAAGCAAGAAAATTCTGCAGTAACGAGCGGCCTCCGTGGATGTCTGTGTAGGACTTGTTTACAGCGGCTTGGGGAGCACAGTGGGACCCCCGGCTCCACTGTCTCCGGGCAGTCAGGTGCCTCCCGCTGCTCGGGGAGTTCCCGTGGGAATCTTATGCGCCATCTCAAGCATCGGCACCTTTGCGTAGATTCCGGGCCCCTAGGAAGGGGTGCACATTCATCTGGGCTTGAATGTGGTTGTCCAGATCTCATTATTGATAAGTATTTGATTTCTCGTGCCCGAGGAGTTTCAGTAAGTGAAATTCGCGTCGGCCTGCCCAGCATGTCCTCAGACAACCTCTTGAGGCAGTTTGTTGGTCAACAAGACTTGGATGTGCCTTTTTTGTTAGGAGTTTTTTCCTCAGTGACCCTGGTGAACTCTTCCTATTCTTTAGCTTTTATGCAACCCGGAGAGCAGCATTTGAAGCCTCCGTCCTTACTAGCCCTGCATTCCGGAGCTAACTGCGCACGTTTGTCTGGGAAAGATGTTCATTTCTGATGACTGCATGGACTACAACGATCCTTTCCTTTGCTGAACGTATTTTTACGTTATTCTGAAAAAGTATTTTCTGATGACTTAGAAGGATTTCACCTGAAATCTATGGCCCTGGGGGGTACACAAGCAGGAATGTCCCATTTTTACCCTATTAGTGTACCTTTCTGTGCAATTGTGACATTCTTTTGAGTTAATAAAACTACTATAATAATCATAACCCACATGCATTTTCACATATGAACAACTGTAAACCTACTTTTGTCCACTTCATTTATTGTATATGGGCTTTCCCCTTGGCTCGCCATTCCTCCCCGCCATTTTAAGATATCTTTAGTAGTAATTTTGCAGAAAAGTATCAAATATCTTTTAATAATTTCCACCTTCCCTTGTTCCTGATTATCGTTAACAGCACTGGCAATTGACAGTTTTCAGAAATTTGTAGCACAGTGAATGAGGGGAACCAGCTCTTTGGGGAGAACCTCTTTATAGAATCTAAGACCAGCCCCAGTTAGCTTAAGCAGTTCTTTCTTTCCAAGTGAGTGAGTTTAGGTTAATTTAAAATTGAATATAGTTCTTTTGATATATGGTAATTGAAAGGGTTGAAATGGATCTTAGCCCCCTCCCCTCCCAAACAACTCCTTCCTTTTGCAACTGAAGAAACTGGGTGGGGCCCAGAGAGGTGAAGATCGCGGTCCACCTAGTGGCAGAGTCTGGACTTGCACTTCTGACCTTCTGAGATGAATTCTTCCATCCTCTATAGGGGAGACATCATTTCCAATATGTGAAGTGGATCCACACTCAGTCAAGATGCCTAGTGTGTATCTTTGCAGATGGTTTGAAAAGTATAATGAACTTAAAAGGTTGTATTTGAGCGCCCTGGCTGGTGTGGCTCAGTGAGTCGAGTGCTGGCCTGTGAACCAAAAGGTCGCCAGTTTGGCTCCCAGTCAGGGCACATGTCTGGCTGGCAGGTCAGGTCCCTGGTTGGAGGGGTGCAAGAGGCAACCAATTGATGTATCTTTCGCACATCAATGTTTCTCTGCCTCTTTCTCCCTCCCTTCACTCTCTGAAAATAAATAAATAAAATCTTTAAAACAGTTGTATTTGAGCAAATAGTTTGGGATTTGGTCTTCTCAAATGTTATAATAGTTTCACTCCATTTTCTTCTGGGGTTGGCCAGTTTATTCAAAATCGGAACTGTTTCCCAGACACTGTTCTGCTGAGATTCAATGGTAAACTTAGGTCTTAAGCTCCTCCACTGATAATGAAAGGGCTTGCACATCTCAGGAGAAGCTTACATGTTGCTCTAGAATAAATAGCTCTAATAGGTTGACTGGAGAGTGATATTTATGCCAAAACTTAGGTAGCACTCCATGAACTCAGCAAGTTGTGGTACTCTCTGATGGGTTGGATGTTACATTTATGATTTGTAGACAGATAGGGAAATATTATGCTTCTCTTTCACTCAGTGACATAAACCCTGGAAAATGTATACGTGAATTTTTACTTTAATTGCTCTGAGGAATCTCAAAGCAGCTTTGCAGATAATGTGTTGGTAAAATAATGTACTTTAGATTCCTATCTATTTTTATCTGTTTGTAAGGCTTATAAGGGTTCTCAGAGATAGGAGGAAAAGGAATCTGGGGAGGTATATCTTAATGTGCATTTGGAGCAGTATCTTCATTTTCTGTGTGTTTATTAACCATCTCCTATGTATAACCCTGGGCCTTGAGGGAATATAGACATTACTAGAGCTGGGTCCTTGACTGCCAGGGTCAGTTTGTTGAGGAAGACAAATGATAAACAGATCATTAAAGCACTAAGAAAATAATTGAGTAAATAAATTGCTCTTTTTATGTGCCTTTGATCTGTGTTGTTGGTGTGGTCCTGTCAAATGTACCCTTGGTCTCTGAAGATAACTAATAAAAAAGAGTAAGGTATAAGCATGTACCATATTTAATTAATTGCTTCAGCATCACTGGGCCAAAACACTAAAGACATTCCTATGTCACTCTTTTCAGCTCAAAAATATCACTTGTCTTTAGTAAAAATAATCATTTTTGTCTTCCTTTTAGGGTCATATTTTAGGGATAAATCAGGATAAAAAAGACTTTTGACACTATAGTTTGAAGCTTCACATTTAGAGCTATTTTGGTTTTTCCTTCTTCATTAACCAAAATAAACCTGTTTCCTTGTGTAAAAAAATCTCTTCCTTTTGTACGTAAATGTTTCCACTTACCTTTTAGATTTATTAGGATAAACTTTTAAATATGGCACATTCTTAAGAGAATGTTAAAGAATTGCCATCCATTTGCTAGAGTGAATTAATTAAATTCGTATTTCCCCAAGCCTCTGAAAGAATCTACCCTGACAAAATGGAGGTTTTTGTTGTGAAGAGGGCTGATAGCTAAATCTGGATGGTCGAGCACCTTTTCTAGTCTAGGAGAGTCATGGGGACAGGTCTTAAAGCAATGAAGAAGAATCCACACCCTCAGAAATAGAGGTTTCAAAGGATGATGTAAAGGAAGTGCTCCTCCTCCTGTATGTTTCCTCTACTCTGAGTCCCTTCCTAAACACTGCTGACACCAGACATGGGTTTTTTGCACATCAAGTAGTTCAGCTGGGTGTCCTACAATTTAACTCAATTTAACACTATTTACCAGTGTTAGCCTCAGATCCAGCAAGTTGAGGGCTCAGTCCCACAAGAGTGCTCCTCCCCCACTAACATTTCAACCATTAATTGCAAGTGCAGGTTTTAACCTGTGCTTCTGACCAACTGGCTACAAATCAGGTTCCCACAACCCCCTCACTTGTGATTAAATTGCCAGAGTGGCCCAAGAACTCAGGAAAACCTTTTACTTATTAGGTTACCAAATTATGATAAGGGATATTAAAGGATATGAATGAACAAGCCTATGAAGAGATATACAGAATGAGGTCCAGAAGACTCCCTGTCCCTATTTGGTGTGTGCCACCCGAAAGCTTTCCAAACCCATCCTTTTGGATGTTTATGGAAGCTTTATTACATAGGCACGACTGATTTAAGTATTGACCATTGGTGTAATTTAGCCTCTTGTCCCTCTCCTTTCCCCTCCCAGGTGGTCAGGGAGTGAGGCTGAAAGTTTCAACCCTCTAATCACTGTTGGTCCCCTTGGCACCCAACCCCAACCCTTAAGGCTTTCCCAAAGATACTGCATTAAAATAAACTCAGGTGTGGTTGAAAGGGGCTTGTTATGAATAAGGAAGGACCTTTTATCACTCATATCACTTAGGAAATTCCAAAGGATTTGGGAGCTCTGTGCCAGGGCCAAATATACATTTCTTGTTATAAATAACAATATCACAGATGAAAACTACTAGGTTAAGTTTATTTTAACAATAGCTGAATTTGTTTATTCTCATGTATTGAATAAAAATATGTACTGGGCTCAGTTGGTAGGAGCATTGTCCCATATACCAAAAAGCTGCAGGTTCGATTCCTGGTCAGGGCACGTACCTAGGTTGTGGGTTCAGTCCCCAGTTGGGAGCCTATGAGAGGCCATCAGTCTGTTGTGTTTTTTTCCCTCTCTCCCCCTCCCTTGTATCCCTCCTACTTCCCCTCTCCCTTCATCTCTTTCTAAAAAGCAATGAAAAATGTTCTTAGGTGAGGATTAAAAAAAGAAGAATGCACTGGTAGGAACCCATAAGCTTGCAGTCTTCTTTGTCTATAGCAAATATTTAGTAATTTATCTTAGCAGCTGATTTAGAAATGTTGGATGGGAAAACAGAAATAGAATCATGTTTATATTTGAATATGGGAATTCAGTAGTTTTTATGAAGACTACTAAAATGTTTTTTTAATCCATACCAAATTGGCAACAATGATAGAATAAATTATAGTGCCTTTTTTCTGGAGCCACCAGCATAAGCACTTTCTCAGGAAGTTCATGATATTGATCATTTATTTGCAAATACCATAAGAATGAGTCCTAACCATGGTAAATCAAGGTGATTTTTAGAGGGTTTAAAAAGAATTTATTGATTCTGGAGAGAGAGAAAGATCAATGTGTTGTTCCACTTATTTATGTATCCATTAATTGATCCTTGTATGTACCCTGGCCAGGGATCAAACTCCCAGTCTTGGGGTATTAGGACCATGCTCTAACCAAGTGAGCTACTCAGCCAGGGCCTTAGGTTTTACTTAATGCCATCTTAATCATATGTTCATGTATTGCTTTATATATGACATGCCTCTCAAATTATACCTTATTGGGAACTGGACTTACCTTGTTTTTTTTTCCCTGTGTTCCCCAGAGAGCTTAGTACAATTATTTGAAAATATTAATAAGTGATTATATTAAGGGGCAGAATACAGAGAATTCTCAAAGTATTCAACAGTAGCTTTTGTGCTTTAAACCTTCATTTTGGGTACTGTGCAAAACCATTTAAAACTTAAATAGGGCATTCTTTTTCCTCCACTCTTATGTCATACCAGCTGATAGAGCCATGTAATTGCATATTAGTTTTCATGTAGTTGCCTTTGGCCTTACATACTAACCTTTGCCAGATATGAAGTGTTAGTGCTTGGTTTCTCTCAGTTCTAGGAAAGATGTGTCTACTGCTTTGCTCTGCCATAGCTAAGGAAAGATGAATTCAAATATGAAGGTTACCAGAAAAAGTGCAGGCAAGAAGCTGCATTCGGGCCCCTAATAACACCTATGTCTCTTCATTGCAGAACAAAGAGTAGAAGACGTCCGACTTATCCGAGAGCAGCATCCGACCAAAATCCCGGTAGGTAGTTTCAGGTACCCATGTATGTCTCATTGGTTAATGATGTATAAAGAAGAGAGCCCTGCTTAAGTATAAATTTAGTGCAGTGCTGCTGTATGCAACTACCTAACAGGGTTTCTAGAGGAATCCTACTTCTGAGATCTCTTAATCGAGTTTTTAATATACTTATATTCTGTTTCCTTTTAAATCTGAGTTTGCCATCTTTAATGTTACACACTTCACAAATCAAATGTATTTTCAGGGACAGGACGAGAGGGTCTAGAACCGTTAGTACTTTATCAATGGAAGGAAATACCCACTTCTTCTAAAGAAAGCAAAGACTGCTACTGTGGGCAAATGAGCAACTCTCAGGATTTAAGTGAGACTGTATATTCTAGGCTGCCTGACTTCTGATGCCCTGGAGAAGTCTTTTCTTATATTTGGCTTCTTTGCAGGAGATGGAGGAACAATACTGATCATCCTTGTCATGTGTAGGGGCCGCAGATGCTTATTGCTGTGCTTAGGCAACCGAGTTCTCTGCCTTGAATCCTTTGGTGGTGGACCTCAAATTAAATAGGCTTCTGCTAAGACACTAGCTGTTCTAGAGAGAATTTGTCAAAAGGAACTTTTGGTTTCAGGCAGAGGCCGTCTTCAGGCCCCCTAGGGTCAAGGTTGCTAAGTGATCTTGGACTAATTAGTAATATTCTGAGAGGAGCTCATCTGTAAAATGGGGAGAAAAATCCCATGCCATGTGGTTGTTGGCCGAGTTGCAAGATCCTGGGTGTGTGGTTGTTACCTCCTGCAACTTTTACAGACCACTTACAAAGAAACTCCACTGCCAAATACTGTAGAAGTTTTCATGTTTGGCTTTGAGACTGGTCATCTCGTACTGAAGTGAGGGGAAAGAAGATGAATGATCCATGGGGTTGGGGCTGAAAAGGTACACAGAAAAGAGAGTAAGATGGGGCTGCTCAGCAGTTTCATGCCTGCAGGATTCCATAGTAAGACATGTTCTGTCTTGCTTGGACTGGTTGGAAATTTCACAGTATGTCCTTGGCCTTGGGGTCAACGTATGGCTTAGAGGTGAGCCTTCTGGGGAATTTTCTTAATTTTAAAGTTTTTCTTTACTTTTGAGCACCTACTGTATCTATTTGCTACAGCAGGTGTTGCATATATTGGATGTTGTCCTTTAACAGGAAAAGGGATTCCCCCTGGAAATAAACGGCCAGCCCAACAGGCTGTCAGGACTTGTTCCACAGACTCCTTTTGAAATGTGAATATATGTGTACATTAAAAATCGTATCTTTTGCTGGTAGTTCCAGGGTTTATTTACTTTTTTATTTTGCAGAAATCACATATTTCTCCATCCATGTATGTGCTTGTGACATGCTGAACAAGTTTGAGAAGCAGACTCATAGCCACTCCCATGTTGAGAATGTGATGAGTGCAGACAAACAATGGACAGAAGGACAGACAAGGCACAGGCAGTTCCCTGGCCCTCCAGTCTCCATTCCCCAGTGGTGGCTTTCTCTTCTGTGTTCCTGTTCATAGCCCTACCATCTAAATGAAATATCAAGAAGGCACTTTTCAGATCTAGTCAGATACCTTATTCTATGTGTTATACATCTGCTCTCCCAAATTAGAAGAATTAAAGGGAAAAATTTAAAAACAAAAACAAAAACTGAAAAGTAAACCAAGCCTTTATAGGTGATTGTATTTTCATGGAGCTCACCATATGGTGAGTAGAAACCGCTACAACAGCTTCTCCCCAAGCAGATCAGACTCACAACTGAAAGCAGGAGGTACCCAAGGTCATCTTATCCAGCATTTTTTCCAGGCTGCTGTGTGTTCCTTTAATGGAAGGATTCTAAGGTCTTGAATTTTTCCTCCCACTCTCTACTTCTGCTTCTTCCTGGGCCAAGAATCTAAGATTTCTATATTGTCTCTGATTTCTGCTACCACTTAACCCCAGGCAGGTAGTCTACCTACTGATACTTTCTTGTGGATATTATGTTCTGAATACACAGCTGTGCTAGGTAAGCTCTTCATTTTAACAAGGGAGGTGATGACAGCTAGACTTGGCCCTAACACAGAACCTCATGTAGGTCCCATAGAGTGGAACAAAGTTCAGATAAGCATTTTCCCTCTTTTGAAGAAATATGTAATTTCTTCATATTTTGAAGAAATATGAAGAAATTGGTATCTCTCAACTTCTCAATGTTGTTACAGGTCAGAGAGTTGCTTTATGTGAGGAAGGATGTCTGTGGTACTCAGTAAAGAGATGGTAATGAGTCTCAAAGGCAGTCACCAGTATGTGCTCAGAGCTTTTATATGGCTTAGAACTGGAAAAACCGCTATTTCTTTTTCTCTGTACAAAGGAAGTATGGCAAGGAGCTAATGGATTTATTTCAGTTCATAATGTGAAACTATTTTTGTTTCTTGCATAGCTCAAGATTCTTGACTTTAATACTCATTAAAGGAATAGCAAGAATATTTTACCAAAATGAAAGAAATCCTCAAGTAACAAATTTGTCCCTGGAACCAACTAATCATGATCTCTACTTGTCAATATTGATTTGGGATTATTTTCATGTAAACAGAGAAACATGTGCCTAGTATTTAAAAAAACTAAGTCTGTTACCATAATTAAGATCTTACCATTTTATTAAGGTTCCTTGCCACGTCACAGGAAATGGTGGTTTTACAGTTGATATAGACAGATTCAGATCTTTATACTTTAAGCTGCTACTCAGCCTCTCTGCTCTTCTAAAACTTAGGGTCTTTTTTTTCTGACTAGTAGTATATTTTCATGGTTCCTGTAGGGTAAGTGGAGGCAGTCTGGCTTCCTTACCCAAGTGCAGGTAACTGAGGGAAGCAGTGTTCCCATAGCTTTGGACAGGCCTGATAAGTAGTATTCTCATAGCCTGAGACTGGGTCCAGTAAACTGTTCCCATAACATGAAGTGGGCTCTTACACACAGAATTACACTACGTTACATAATTCTCTGTCTTGAAGGCAGCTTTGTTCTAGTATTTAAAAGGGGCTTGGGTCTCCCTGCTCAATGCCACACTGGGGAGCAAGGGCTACAACATGTGCCACACAGAGACATGCGGGGGACATGTGGCTTGCAGCGTGCGTGGCTCGCCTACTGGTGAATAAAGGCATGTCAGACATCCTAACTGCTTCGTGAATATTCTTCTGTTTGCCTGAATACCATGAACCTATCAGGCCTTGATCAGCTGCAACAGTTCCAAATAAAAGAATACATAGCAGTTTTGTCCTCCACCCTGCAGCCACCCTGCTCACCTCCCTGGAGGTGGCTACTTTGTCTCTCAGGTACCATTTTATAGGAGAGAATCTAAGCTAATAAATGATCACTCTTCACAGGAGAACTATGAGGAAACTAACAAACATGCTATTTTAAACCTCATTTTGGCATGTGCCAGTTACAATATAGGAAGGATTTTATTTTTCTCTGTTGATGGCTATTTTAAAATCACCTTTCTGGCTTCATTTCTAGGTGATAATAGAACGATACAAGGGTGAGAAGCAGCTTCCTGTCCTGGATAAAACCAAGTTTCTTGTACCTGATCATGTCAACATGAGTGAACTCATCAAGATAATTAGGTACTTAATCATCTCTTTTTTATTTCTTTGAGTAACTTCTCCTTGTTTATCACATTTACAGATAGATCTTTAGTTCTGATTAAAATTACGTAAGCTTAGTGAGACTACAGGATGCTTCAATTCTCAGTTTTTTAATATTTTTTACCTGCAGGATCATGTCCCTTCGGATCCTTTCATAACAGCTAGTGTGGATGTCCATTAACCAGAAAAGTTACAAGTTTTGTACAGCAAAATTAGTAAAAGAGTATAGACTTGGTACAATGGTAATAAATTGTACCAGCTTAGGTCTTAGTTTATAAATATTTTGAACTGTTTTTCTCACAATTTAGACACTAATAGCTCTTCAGACAACATACTAGTTTAAAACTGGCCTCAAGAAGGTAATAAGAATAACCTATCAAGGATTATCACTAATATTGATCATGAATATAATCATAGAAAATGTTTTGTGCTTTGTGAGAAGAAATGTTAGAGTCATCATCATCTATAAGGCATATACTTTAATTTGCTAGAAGCAGCATTTGGAAAATTGTTACACTTTTAAGTCATTCGAGTGAGTGATATTTTTACATATGCCCCTTACTTACTGATGTATTAATTTTTCTTTTCAAATTTTCTTTCAATAGAAGGCGCCTACAACTCAACGCTAATCAAGCCTTCTTCCTGCTAGTGAATGGGCACAGCATGGTGAGCGTATCCACACCAATTTCAGAAGTGTATGAAAGTGAAAAGGATGAAGATGGATTCCTGTATATGGTGTATGCCTCTCAGGAGACATTTGGAATGAAATTGTTGGTGTAAGACTAGAAAAATGCATCTGTTCTAGAATTTTTTAAACCCTTACCAACAGGAAAAAAAAGGGATGTTACCAACTGAGATTGATCAGTTCATCTAATCACAGATCATCAAAACAGTAGTGTTCCTGCCTAGGAGCTTTAGAAAGTTGTTTTTGTACTTCAAGCAGAAAAACTGGGCTCCAAACGAGCACACTCAGCTTTGGAAAACTACATTATTTAACCTAGGCTGTCTTGTTTTCAGATTTAGAAGTTTAAAAATAAAATACTTTGCATTCTGAGTTACCATAAAATAGACCTTCAGTTATTTTAATGCTCTTTCCACAACAGGAACTTGCATTTTGAGCAGAGACAATAAATCTTTTCTCTAGGTTCATAAAACCAGCCAACTTTTTAATTGGAGGGTTTCTACCCAACTAGAGAGGTCTCTAAGAGGATCTTTAAGCATAAGTTGTCAAGCATAGCCCCCCCAAAACACATTTGCCATAACACTTGGCGAGAAGGCCAAATAGGGGTGTGTAAGAAAACTGTGAACTGCTGTGAAAGGTTCCTCCTGATTCCTAGTGAGTACACCCCAAGTCAATGCTCTTGCAGTGTTAGGAAGTTCTTACTTGGTTTGTTCCCCAGGAAGTAACACACACAGAAAAATATCACTGCTCAGTAGGAACCTTGAATAATTTATTTTGGTCTAGTTTCTCAAAAGTCCCAGAGAAAAAAAATGACATTTCTTCTGTTTCAGATATTCTCTGATCAAAAAGGTCAAACTAGTGCTTGTTTGGTGATTAAACAAGCAATTGTATCAGTTTCATTCTTTAGGGCAGGGCTGGGAACTACAGAATCCTCAAACTAAAGGTGTTAAAATTCAGATGCACTTCCTCTACATTTAAGCTTAAGGCTGCAGATGATCCATATTTTACATTAGGTGTGTGACTAAAATATGTGATTAAAAAGTTACCACATTTTAACGAGTATTTCAGTTATCACCGCTAGGTCAGACCACCATCGAAATTCCCGCACTGTAAGTGCACGTCAGTTGTGAAGAAAGCAGTAAAAGGAGATACATTCTGTTTGCAGATACTAATGTCAAAAATTAAAACTTATTTTCCATATCCAACTAGAATAACCAATGCTTCCTACTACCTGCATGGGGCTCGTTAGTTTACTGTTTTTATGGGAGTATCACAAAAAGATCACATACCACTTTAGACTACATGTTGCAGGTCATGATTTGCCCTTGTATGTTTAGATGTGTATGGAACACCTGCATCAGTTAGTGGAAATTATTTGCTGTAATGGAGGGATTAGGCAATATTACTGCATATGGGCCTTCAACCCCCCCAAGCTCCCGTCACCTACTCCTGTTGCATGCGTCTGTCTACATGGCTAACTTTTAATATGTATATTTTTACATTATGTACATTCTTAATCGGCCTGTCTTGTTTAGATTGTATACGTCATATCTGACATTGTTGTAACTACTGTGTGATCAATAAGATTCCTATAAGAAATTCTGCTTTTTAAAAAAAAAAATCAAGGCGAGAGGGGTGACGTATATCCCAGATTAGTGGGTGGTCACTCTATATTTATAGCATCTTTAAAACAACCAGTACATTTTTAATGAACTAAGGTCAATAAAGGCACAATTAAAAACTTATCAAAGCTCAGTTTAATGGATCAGTGTCCGAGACTTACAATCCTACATACTGTCTGTAGTAGCCAAAGCCAAACAAGTAATATCCTTCCTAAGAAGGAGCACCCAGACTGGTTTTGCTGTGTGGGACAGCAGTCGAGTTGGAGGGACACCCACCTTTGAAGGTCTCGGCCTTGTCATGAGCACCTTCTTCACCTTGGTCAAAGTTCTCCCAACTGGTTGAGGGCCCTGGTCAGCAGGCTCGGTTGGAGTGTTGTCCCGATATCCCAAGGTTGTGGCTTTGATCCCCAGTCAGGGCACATACAAGAATCAACCAATGAATGCTTAAATAAGTGGAATAATGAATCAATGTTTCTCTCTCCACCCTTCCTTCCTCTCTAAAATCAATAAATTTAAAAATCCCTAAATTACCCTTAGAACTTACATGTCATGAAGTATGCATAGGATGGATGTGGAACCTAGGTGTATTGCGGGAATAAACACTTAAAAACTTAAGTCGATCTCAATGAACAGCGAAGTAAAATAAACACAAAGGTGTCAAGAGTATATGTGTGTGTGTGTGTGTGTGTTGTGGTCATGAAGGCATTACATGGCTTATGGTACCTCAGTTGACTATGAGGAGCCACATCAAGTAAAGCTACAGAGCCGCCCTCCCCCCACTCCCAGTTGCCATGGATGAGAATCAGTCTACCAAGACAATGATCTACTTGGGGAGGAAAGGTGGCCAGTCTTTCAGGGGAGAAGGGCCTTGAGCCTGTTCTTCAATGGGCTTTTATTGGATTCAGTTTGCCAAGAATACAGGTAAAGCTCACCAATCATTGTCAGGCAGTAATGATCAAACAATAGATAACATTCAAAGAACTATGAGAGCTTACTCCAAGTCAGGGTCAGATAGCTAAAGGGCCATAAAACTTTGGGAAACTCATTTTATGCTTACACCCTTCTCAGAAAATTGAAGGCATTCTTAGCAAAGCAGGTTTCACAGGACTTTATGCATCTTAAGCCTGATCTCCTGGAGGAACCACCTGTTCCTGCCCAGGGCTGCACTGCCCCCTGCCATTGTTTCAAGCTTAAGTCGGGCAGGGGAAGTAAGACAGCCAAGAGATTAGAAGACTTCTTACAGACAGAATGAGGACTCAGGCTATGTCAAAGCTGAGAGGTGGGAGTCCATCACCCCCTTTTTTTATAGTCCCCCAGTCCTTCCCTGAGGGCCCCACTGAGGTCATGCCTGTCTTAGGTTGTCCCTCCCGTAAGGAATCTTACCCGCCATTGGCTAACCAGTCATCGGCCCGGTGCCAAGCAGGGTGAAGTCAAGAGGGCAGAGGCGGCACCCTAGCAGGAAAGGTAAGCTTTGTTTCCTTAGTGGTTTATGCTCCCAAGGTCTTTTACTCAGCCTTAGCCATGGGGAGTTACAGCTTCTGAAACCAGGCAGGGAAGTTCCCAACAAAGGAGTGGCCAGTGTTATTCATTTGGAAAACTGGACACAACCAACTCGAAATACGCTCTGACTTTGGTGGAAGAGTACAGGGAGCAAATTAAGGGAATGCTCTACTTGCCCAAGTTTCTTGTTCAGCAGATGTGCACGTCTCCCATCCCCAGAGGACTGGCCTGGATGGTTCCCTAGAGACAACCCAGAGGCCCCGGAAGTAACCAAAGAGCAAGAAATAATTTTAGGAATGTATAAGTGTAACTACTCCTTATCTGTTAAGGAGTTGAAATTATATTCAGGCTCTTTGAAGGCAACTGCAAGGCTGATGTGGCCCCCAGTGACAGTGAGTTGACACCCCTGTCCTAAATGAAAGAACAGAACGAAACTTCACTGAAGGAACTAAACAGAACGGAGACAAGCAATCTTCTACATGCAGAGTTCAAACACTGGTTATAAGGATGTTCAATGAACTCAGAACTTCAATATAGCATAAAAAAGAACCGCTCAGAAATGAAGGTGATGCTAACTGAAAAGAGTAATTTATAGGGAAATCAACAGCAGAGTGGATGACACCAAGAATCAAATCAGTGATTTGGAATTTTAAGGAAGCAAAAACGCCCAGTCAGAACAGTAAAAAGAAAAATCCAAAAAAGTGAAAAATAGTTTAAGAAGCCTCTGGGACAACTTCAAGCATACCAACATTCATATCACAGGTGCTGGGAGAAGAAGAAACACAAGAAATAGAAAACCTACTTGAAAAAATGACAGAAAAACAACCTGGTGAAGGAAATAGACATATAATTCAAGGAAGCACAGAGAAACAAGATGAATCCAAAGAGACCTACTCCAAGACACATCATAATTGAAATGCCAAAAGTTAGTTACCTACAAGGGGGCTCCCATAAGACTGTCAGCTTATTTCTCAACAGAAACTTTGCAGGCCAGAAGGGATTGGCAGTAAATATCCAAAGTATCAATAAAAAGCAAGGACCTACAACCAAGATTACCCAGTAAAGCTATCATGTAGAACTTATGGACAGATAAAGAGCTTCCGAGACAAGAAAAAACTAAAGGAGTTCATTACCACCAAACTAGCATTATATGAAATGTTAAAGGGTCTTCTTCAAGAAAAAAAGATAAAAAGTATGAATACAATGGCAATAAATACATATCAATAATTGAATCTAAAAGGGAATAAGTGGAACAAAAATACACTCATAGCTACAAAGAAAATTCTGATGGTTATCAGATGGGAAGGGGGTTTGAGGAATGGGTGAAACTATTAGAAAGTACAAATGGATAGTTACAGAATAGTCATGGGGATGTAACATATAGCATACTCAATACAGTCAATAATATTCTAAGAACTAAGTATGGTGTTAGAGTGTACAAGATATATCAGGATGATCACTTTTAAGTTATGTAATGTCTGATCACTGGACTACACCTAAAACTAATATAATACTGTATGTCAACAGTGACTGAAAAATTAAAAAATGACTTAAAATTAAAAAAAAAATACTTAGATCTATTAACCCCAACCTTGAATGTCATGAAACCTACAGTGGTATGTAACATCTTTAAACCCCAAATCAATATTCAAATTTCTGTCCATATCAAGGACATTTTTTAAAGATCCTTGGAAACGTGATAGAAAATAGATTTAAGATGAAGTACTCCTTTTGTAAAGCTGGGAAGAAGGCAGAAAGGATTGACTCCCTAGTATGGAGATCAAGAATTGTGATTTATTTGAAAAGACATGTGCTTCATATTGTGAGACAAAAACCTCATATAAGGAAAGGGTTTTTTTTTTTCAATTTTTATTTTCAGTACATTAAATTTACTCATAAAAACATTCTAAAAATGTACAATTTTTCCTTTTTAACAAAGTATAATAAAACATAAAAACCCCAAAAACAGAATACTTGACATTTACAATTCAAAATCAAATTAGCAGAATATTAAATATTTACAAAACTATATTTTTAAAAAATATTTATAAAGTTACATGCAGTTTTGTAGGACTGACAAAAGAATGGCTCAAAAATGGGAGACTTTTCCTTCATTCCTAAAAAGCAAATATGTCCAATACAAGCTGTGAAGATTCTTGAGTATACGAGGTCTTCAGTTTCAGTACCAAAGCCTTTGTCTTTGTGCATGTAAGAACTTATGCATGTGAGGGGCTTGCTACAATACCCAGGACGGAGAACTAACACTCCCCTCCCTCCATTAACAGTGTAGTAACATTGACCTTTGGCCTCAACCAGCACAGTATGTAGTTTTATGAATGTTGATTAAAGATATTTTCTTTCAGAACCTTGGGACTTGTCAATAATTGAGCTTCTTCAGAACCCATGGCTTTATATGTCACCTGACTCATTCTTTGGGAGTCATCTGTACTTTGGAAAGAGCGGCCGATGGGATTAGGTTCCACAGGCCCATCCTCTGAGACGGGTGGTCAAGCTGAGCAGGGACACGGTTTCCCTTATAACCTTTTAAGACTCTTCAACATGTAACGCCATCAGTTATCAGTATGTAAAACTAGCAAGGCATCAAATAAACCACCACAAAAGCAGGAAGAGTGACAAAATGATAGGGAATGAGGAGGGTAGGGTACAACCCAATTCCTCTCGGCAAGTGCTCACTGGAAACACTGGAGTGAGTGGATGAGTGCAAGCCTCGGTCAGCCTGTGCTCAAACACGAAACGTGTTACAGCCGTGTGACGTTAGGCAAAGTTACTACCACTGCTACTGCACCTCCATACATAATGTGTAGTGTAAACTAACTATGTTGACTTCTTGTGATAAAAGACCTATAGAATTCTAAATATAGTGAATTAAAGTACTCAACCTACTAACTACTATATTAACAAGCTGACTCCTGTAATCTTTTGGAGATTATAGATGATGCTGGTTTTTTAAAATACCCAATCACATATCTGCTTTTAAAAAATAAATTTGTCTATTTTTATTAGAAGTGCTAGCTCCCATTTCCTCAGTGCTCTTTAACAATTAGGAGTTTTAATGTTTAAACACTTTCCAATTTTCAATACTACCATAAAATAAAAATTAGAAAATAAGGTATAAAATTGAGTGTTTTGCTTTTCAAAAAAAAAAGATTAAATAGTTGTTTTACCCCAACATTGTATTGTACTTTGATCTGTACATTCCTCTTTCTCCATTCTTGGAGATAAAAATGGGGTTAGAAACTTGAATATACGACAGACTACACAAAGCAAAGTGGCTGGCGCCACACCTACCTGGTTGCCACAGCACTTCGAAACAGCCACGATTTCAGGAAAAAGACTAAGTAGTTGAAAGGATCAGTCTGATCTGTGTTTCTAACTGGTGAGGACATCTTCTGAGGAAATGCAAAATGCTTCTTTTAGGTTTACTGACTTTGGTAGCTTTTGGAGAGAAATTCATCAGAGATAATGCTGTTAGCAAATATTCCCAAGTCCAAGTTATGCGATTCACTTGGGAAGAGATCTGATGGATCGGCAGCTTTGTGTCCTGTGTACCTCATATTTACATTTTACAATTGTCAACTTGGAATGACCTCTTTGGAAATGTCACACCACACACGCACTTTCAAAGAAACCGGGAATTTTTCTAAGACCTTTGATGACTGGAACACAGCCACACAACGTCTGAACTTATATACCTCAATCTGAATGTCATACTTCAAATCAAAGTTTGTTTTAATTTTTTGTTGTATTTAATACTAATCTCTAATAGTTATCAAAATAGTTGTAAGGGTAACAACACACACTTTCATTCCCCAATACTGACCACTAAAACAAAAAACCTAAATATGACTTTTTTTGCTATGAGACAGTTTTCAACAATTTCACTATGTTGAAATAGGATTTATTTAAAATATTTCTTTGTTTAAAAAACCAAAAAAATTTAAAAGTTTGGCTTTCAGCACATATCCAGGCCACTATAACGGCCTTCAGAAATATTAAAATCGTAAACATCAATGAACACTCTAAGTCTTCCTTTAACATAACATGACAAGTTCCAGTCTAATATTCTTTAAGGCAAAGTTGTGTCAGTTCTCATTATTTTGACATTTTTGTAGTGTTTATAACTTTAGAGATCAAAACATTCCCCCCAAAAGTTGTTGAAAGCATCACCGTCGCTTAAAAACTGTATGTGATAATACTGTGTACCAGGAAAAGAGAATACAGAGGTCTGTCAATTCTGCATTGCATAGAAATAAAACTCTACTAAAATAAAACTCTAAAAAACTCTACTAAAAGCCTTTTGTAAAAAAAAATGTTACAACTTTCGACTTTAGTTTCCATGAGGCCAGGAAACTGATCTCAGAATGTGAAGCCTCACATCGCAATGCCTCAAATTCTAGGGTGTTTTTAATTTACATCAATTTTGCTTGAGGCTGATTGTCCCATTTTAAGAATGGTCTGAACACATTGTGATTTTTTTAAAAAATAAATATTCATCTGGAAAAATCCCTGGGCAAGGCCTTACCAATCAATATTTTAATACTGAAGGCTTTAGCACTTAAAACAATGTCATTTAGCAGAAAATTCCCTTTAGTCTTAAAGATTTAAGTCCCTAAATTTCAGGCCACGAAGCTCCCCCTGCAGTGGGGTGGAACTGAGAGCTGCGTGGTGAGGACTACTTCTCACCTCGCTAAAACCAGACTTCTGCAGACCCTGTAGCTGTCCTGCTGGTGTGGTCTCTCTCAGAGTCTACCACTGTCTGTTAGTCTTCCAGGTAATTTTTAACAGGACTCACTATTAATACACAGCCTGATACAAAAGAAGTTGACAGCGGAAAATTTCAAATCTTTTGCTTATAAATTACAGGACTGTATTATTGTTAACATGTGTGTCTCAAGTGTGAATCTGTTAGCAATAAGCTTTGGGGTCTCTGGGAAATCTGTGTGAGATTAAAAAAACTTGCAAACTCTGCTAAGGACAGATGGCATCTGTCAGAGCCAAGTCACAAAGGCCGTGCCATCACCATGTCTCTGTGAGAGTTCCTTCATGGTGGAAGATGACAGGACTCAAAGCTATGGAAGGGCCAGTAAAGAACATATTCGCAAAGCTTTGACAACCAGGAATTCTCTGGGACTTGGACCCTTAGAAATTAGTTGTTGTGAGTAACTATTTCTACTTAATAATGTAGTTTAAATTTATTTGCAAAAAAGAAAATCAAAAACCTGAAACTGCTACAAAGTGTTCTAAGGAGGGAAGTAAATACTAAAATCTCTGTTGTGTACTAAGTCACGTGGCCTGCTGGTGCCAACTCTGTAAAGACAGATCCTCTGAATGTCTCACACTGACTGGTCTCAGGGAGTGAGTCTCCCAGAACTGCAGAGATTGACATCAGTTTACATTCTGCTGTAGTGCAATCCTTAAAAAGCCCAGATATTAGTGCCTAGCCACTTTAGGAACAAAACAAAAACAAAACAAAACAAAGGTGACATTTTCCCTCACCCAGGGGTGTCAACAGTCCGACTGGTAGAACTCCACTTGGAGAACTCCAACCTTCAGCTCTCACTTCCGATCTCGCGTAGCTGCCCTGGAATTACGTGGGAGCCTAGAAGGACCAGTTACGGCAATGCTCTTCCAGAGACGGCAGGTCTCTGCATTGCAACCAAGGGTGGAGATACCCACTAGGCAAGTCCTGACATCGAGCTCCAATCTAAAATTTTGGCAATAAAACTGAGTTTGATGCACTCCTATGCTAGGTTTTCTATCCAGTCTAATAAAGTAAAGCACCTTTGGATTAAAAATATTAAGCTCAACAGCAACTAGACTTCTCAGTTTTGTATTTAATTTTCCTTATGTCTCCATGGCTTAATAGTGTTCTGTTGCCAGAGAAAAATATCAATCTGTGGAGTCCAGACTTTCTGCTGGAGGGGCATATTTCAACCTAAAAGTACCTAGAGAGAGGGGAAAAAAAGAGATCACATTTGAATCACTGTAGAATTACCACAAACAACTGATCTGTCCAAAGTTATCTTTGAGTCACTGCTCAAGATTCAGGTGCTGGAAATCTACACCATCTGTTTCTAACGACTGCTAGCCCCACTCTCCCACCCAAAAACCAGACACTATTTTATTAGTTTATAAAATCAGACGGGGGGTGAAATAACTGAAGAGTTACCAATCCATTCCTTTATTCTTTTAGCAGCTCTTTTTCTGACTCCAACAGCACATAGCTGGTGGGCTATCCAGCGTGCATCTGCCCAGGGACAAGGACCACATGCTCTGGGCTTGCTGCTTCAGGAGATGCAGCACATCTTTATCAACATGGGTGGCCACAGCCCAGTCACCTGCGCCTGCCACTAGACCTACTGAGTCTAAGTTGTTTGTTTTTAAAACTCTCCAGGTGACTAAGATACACAGGCAGGTCTGGTAATCACAGGTCTAAGGCAACCCTCACACCTAGAGATCAAGTGATTCAAGGCTGCACAGTGAATAGTTACAGAGCTGGGACCAATTTCCCCAAATGCCCAGTTTAATGACCTTTCCAAAACCAATAGCAAGAACAAACCCGTTGTAATAAATACATCAGACATACACTTGAATTTGACTAAACAAAACAAGAGAGAGCAGATGGGAGAGAGGGGTAAGGAAGAAGATGGCAGTGCAATGAGGACTGTATCATGCACTCACGTGCACACACCAACAGTCACAGGCACCCTGCAGGGGGGAGAACGGAAGTGGGGACACTTACTTCCATCTGCAGCATCTGAATTTATGTGCTACACCCTAGGCTTTCAGTTAAAGGTTGGGGTGACATTAAATCACCCATACTTAATCCCCAGTCACACGGGAGGAAGTAATAGACCAAGGAGCCATCAGGCCAGAGCCCCTCTCCACAGCCAGCTCGTCACATTCTAGAATAAAGAGCAGGCTGAAATCATGAAGGCAGTCTCAGAACCAAAGTAACCCTCCTTTTGGGAGCTCACAGCCTACTGAGAATTTCATGCTTTTTCAAGGAGCATTTGAAAAATTACTTTTTGCTTTTAAAAGAAGAAAGTTTACTATTATTTTCATAAACAATAAACCTTTTCCTGCACCTCTCTGAGCAGCGCTGCACTGCTAACCAGTGTAGCCGGTTTGCCTCCGGAGCTTCGACGGCCGTGGCCTGCCTTTACCTTGCCGATTGAAGTCCATGGACGGCTGCTTGCAGTCCTGAGCACGGTGACCGGTGGCCCCACAGTTGTAACATGAGAGGTTGCCGCTCTTTTTGTGACTGGAACCATTGCTACTGCCCACCAAGCCCTGGGCCTGGTACACACCGGCTGCCCCTGCCATGAAGCTCTGCATGGGAGGGACAGTGAAGGTGGACTGGCCGCCCAGCACGGGCTCCGTGGGCACGCTGCTGCCATAGGGTGAGGGCATGACTGGGAAGGCGCTGCTGCCATACTGCTGGGTGCCCACATAGCCACTGCCACACACGGGGCTGAAGGGTAGGAAGGGGAAGGGGAAGACGGACGGCCCCGAGAATGGGTGCTGGAAATAGTTGGCATAGCTGACAGTCAGGCCGCCAGAGCCACAGCTCCCACTGCATCCACACGACGTGCACACGACGCAGCCGGGTGGAGGGCCGGGTGAGGGTTGCTGTGGTGCCGTTGGTTGCTGATGGTGGTGGTGGTGGTGGTGGTTCTGGGCAGAGGCAGGAATGTTCCCAGGGGAGCCGCTGCCACTGCTGCTGCTGCTGCTGCTGTAGAAACTGCTTTCAGGGACTGAGGAGAGTGCAGGGCTGGAGCTGGGGGCGGGGCAGCTGGGCACAGTGGCCATGTTTGGGAAGGACGGGGAAGCGTGGCTACTGGAGGAGGCAGTGTTGCTGTTCGCACAGAAGCTGCCCTGCAGGGGGCCCACGGGCACACTGCTCATTGCAGAGAAGGCAGCTTTGGTGTTGGCTGTGTAGAGAGCAGTCCGAGGGTTTATTATTGCAGGGGGCACACTGATCTGCACACTATTAGAACAGGAGGTTTGCCCAGAAATGGCAGAATCTGCAGGGACAGACGAAGACATCAGAAGTTTCACTGGTGGCCGAGCCACGTGGAAGACCGTGCTGGATGTCCCCATGGCAGCAGAGCTCGTCTCCACCACCAGGGCCGGCTGCTGGGCCGGCTTCATCACCCTGTCCAGTGCAGACGCGTGGACGACTTTGGTACGAGGACCAAAGGACACGGTGGGTGACACAGAGCTGCTCTCAGTAAGTCCAGAAAGGACCTGCATGGGCTGATGAGGGGCAGATGTGGGTAACACGTCCATCATGGCATTGCCAAAGCTCTTGTCCACTTTGATGCCGCTTCTTGGTCCAGAGACTTTATTCCTTTCTTCTAGTGAGAGCAGTGAGTGCATGGAAGATGAGAGGAGCTTCATGTCTGCACCTCCCCTTTCCGATTTGTGCACAGAGTTCAGCATTCGGATGGGTGCAATGTGCGAGGCTGCAGTCATCATCTGAGGAGGCAGAGGGTGGTGGCCTGACGGGTTGGAGCCGGCCTCATTCTGCACAGGAAGAACCTGAGCCGTGGGTCTGGTGGAAGCTGAAGTGAAATGATTCAGCAGCATGACAGGCTTCTCTTTATCGGGACCTTCCATGTGCATCTCTACACCTAGAGATGGAAACACAGAGGTCAGCACAGTCCCACAGGCCAGGGCAGAGGCAGCACTGGGCCAGCCATGCCGGGTATCCTTACGCCTGTCATTCTCCTCAGCACTGTCTGAGCTCTCTTCCCGGGCTTGCACCCCCATCGGGCTGGGCGAAGAGCTGGAGCACTCTGAGGAGCTGCCTTCTCGGGCCGCCTGGTGAGGCGTCTGCTCCACTTCCACCCGCAGTGCTGCAAAGAAGAGACAAGTGACGGTCTGAAGGTGGCTCCCAAATCCATGTGCTACAGGACTCTGACAGGGATCCCTCCTCACCCACCTCCATGCACATCTATCACACACTGATTTTCTACATCAGCCCCAGGAAGGCAGTATGATTATTTCTGTATTCAGACAGGGCTCTGATATGCTTAGAGAACCAACTGCCCAAGGTCAGGCAGCTGGTTATATAGCAGATGCAAACACAGCAACGATCTCAGCCAGATGCTCAGAGGCCTCCCTACTCAAACACTAGGTAACAAGAAAAAAAGCTTCCCAAATTAGCACGGTGCTATAAAAGCAGTCATCCACAAACACACCATTTCATGAGTTTGAGGGACATAAAGACCTTTTTAGTAAAATAACCGCTTAAAAGATACACTAGCATTTTTTTTCTTTCCTCCTTTTCTGTTTTCCCTTCATAGTTTTATTACATAAAGAAAACAACAGAGCAACTTTATGGGGGTCCTCAACCTTCTTCTGAGAGAGAGAGAGAGAGAGAGAGAGAGAGAGAGGGAGGGAGAGGGAGAAAGAGAGAGAGAGAGGGAGAGAGGAAGGGAGGGAGGGAGAGGAGGAGGGGGATGGTGTTTGAAAAATCAGATCACTGGAACTTCAAGTCCCCAGAGCAGGAAGGCTAATGGTTAGGCATTAAGAAGAATTTCAAAATGGACTTGGTAGTCAATGACCTAAACATGACCTCTGTCATGACCTTCCCATCTTGGGGAAGAGAGATGCTTTCATCTATTTTGTACACTTTCTGCTCCTCCCCTCTCATCATAGCAGTTTCTGGATCTAATTCTTTTGCCCAAACAACTTCAGGTGAGTCACCAGTCTCCAGCTTCTAAGTCAAATGACCCTTCTACTTTCCTATGGTAGATTACCAAAGCTAAAATAACAATTAATTGTAAATACTAAAAAATGTATATGGCAAAAGGGTGTGTTATGAGGTCTAATGATTATCAAAAGGAACAGACTGCAGTCCGTGTGTCCAGGCTAACCCGGCAATTGCACACCTGCAGCGTGGGTGCTCCGTACGTTCTGCACGGGCCCCACGTGGCTGGTGGGGGGCACGCGGGCCACTCCGCTACTGGTGACAGTGGGTGGGGCTGAGGGGTTCATGCATCGTTTCTCTGACTTCTCCCTGTACAAGAAGAAAGCATGCAAACAGGTGAGGTTTCAATGCTGCTGAAAAACCTCATGTGTTACCAACTCTGCTTACATACATCTATTCCACACAGAGGTGACTTTCATCATAATCGTCTCCAGGTGGAAAATGACACATTCTCCCTTGTCAGGTTCACTGCAAAGGGCCTTACCTAGCAAACCAGAGCTACACTCAAAGAACTGTAAAAGCATTAAAGTTTGAAAAGCAATCAAAAGTAATCCAATCACTGACATGTAACAAAATCCCAAGTCCTAGCATCTCTCTGTTCAGCATGTCAGAAACTAAAATGAGCAAATATTTCACAAGCAACTTCACACTTACTTCTCTAGCTCCAGTTGAGTCTTGAGTTTTTTCTTTGCTCCCATGGTGAGGGATTCAAATTTATTTAGATCTTCTTCAGTAAGGCTCAGAAACTTCCATAGAAGAAACAAATTACAAAGTTACTGGTAATTAATTAGGATGCTAAAAACAAAGAACTTTGATTCTACCTCTAGGATATGTGAACAGATGAAACTTAACTAGATAACAAAAGACTTGGGAACACTTAAAACATTTACTTGCTAAATGTTTTGCTATTCATAGTTCAAAATACAGAGACTCATTTTCCATCTAAAGGCATAGGCACCTCACAATGGCTTGGTGAAGACTGGGTCCCCGGGAAGGTCCATGCTGTACGGGCAGGTGATGAGAGATACAATTTGGGGAAAAGCCTCCTTCTTCCCTGGGACGCCCCCTCAAATGTAAGCATTTAATCTCTTGCAGACAGGAGGACAGTTTAACAGTTCTTTTTTCCTGAAATCTGGGACAATAGCAACTGTGTTGGATAGGAAGTAATCCAGAAGAGTAGAGGCATCAGAACTAACCTGGCCTTACACTAAATGAACATATGATACTCTGGTTCTCAAGACAGCCCATGACATAATGTGTGGCTGCAGCCATTTCAGCTAACGCATGACCAAGGTTAGTAAAAATCTGTTGTTTTTAAGATCTATGAATCCTAAACTGAGACTACTGCAAATATACTTAAAATTTGTTTTTTATTAGGTAGTAACAGCTGTATTTCTAAGTTCAATTGTAGATCTTTGGACAAAGGACATTTTTACCTAGATAAAAGTCACAAAGTCATTTTACCCAACAGGGGGAGCTCAGAGTTCAAACACTGACTACAAGTCTAATTTGGTTTTATTAGTGATACTAAAACTTCAGAATTTAACAGTGAAAAAATGCTCCTAATCAGAACTTTATGTAAAAAAATAATTTCTATGATGGGCTGCTTGAAAGCCCTGAAATCCATCTGTTCCTTTAGCTATATGACCCAAATCAAGCCAGATCATCAGAGAGCCACTTACTGGGACCAAAGTGCTAGGACTCCTCATAGAACTGGCCTTCCTGAGCTGAGCCTCAGCCCATGCACGGGCCTATACCTAGAGGCATCTAAGATGGGGGCGGGGGGCATAGTCAGGAGAACTCACTATTTCTACCTATTGCAGGACTGGTGGAGACATAACGTCCTTCACATCACGGAGAGTACCTAATTGGTAGAGACCCCAAACCACCTAAAAAAGCTGTTTGTTTACAACCAATCCTGTCCCAGTTTTTCCTTCAGCTGCAGGCAGCCTTCCAATTCCATCCACTGCCTGCCTCCAGCAAGCATGCAGCACTTAGGGCATGCATCTGCAGGTGTTAAATGTCAGGTATTGTCATTTCCACACCACACCACACGCAGTTTAGAATCCAACTCAATTCCTCTAGGAATGAGGTCAGAAGAAAGACAGGTTGCCTGAGAAAACAAGCAAATTCTACATTGCCTGCTTAGTAGCCAACATACCTTTTCCATTGTGAGCTGCTTAAAGACAGGATAGTATTTGTGCAAACGCAGTTTCCTCAGCCAATCTAAAATCCCATTTTGCTCCTGGGTCTGAGGAGTCTGCAGACTGGAAGGCATTAAGATGGCAGGCGAGGTGTCCATCTGAGTCCGGTAGGCCAGTGCTGAGCCCCCACCCCCTGTGTGGGAGCAGTGGGGCAAGGTGGCCGCACCAGCTGAGTGCTGCATGTGGTGCTGGGTGCCACTCTGAGAGGATGGGATGCCGGCCACTCCGCAAACAGGCCTGCAAAGACAGTGGACAGGTGGTTTCAAAAGACCGCAGCCTCCACTGAAGGTCACTGTAAGAGGCATGCACACACTGGCTTCCACATCCTGGACTGCATCTGTGGTCTTATCTACTAGCCTCAGAGCCCCTTCTGCCACTTCCCCACCCCACCCCCATGCTGCACTTCAATGTCTGTAGGTACATGTGTATACATGTATTTGTATGGCAGCACTAGAACACACATGGGCATGTGTATGCATGCATTTCTACGCATGTGCTTAAGACTGCATTTATCTGTGTATATGTGTGTGTACATACATGTGTGTCATGACCAACTTCTGGCTGAGCTGTCTAGTTTCTTTGTTACTTGTATCACAGATGATACTCATAATCATAAATTAAAACTGACTCCTAAATCTTTAATACTCAATTTAAAAAAAAGTAAATTGTAGCAGCTGGAGGGAACACAAAGCATCTTTCTTACTTTACCCCTTTTACCCTAAACTATAAACCTATATGCCAGGCTAAGTGGTGTGCACTAAAGAAGAAAGTCAGCACTTTCGGAGACCTCATTAACTACCTAGCTCTTCACACAACTGTGTGCTCACAGGCACTCTCTCTATGATGTCAGCGCGTTAGAACGTCAGCTCTCAGTCACGCAGGTGGGCTATTTGTCACTCCCCCAGCCACCACCAGGCCTCACAAGAACAGAGGACCCCAGAGCAGCACTCTGGCATCATGTGCATACTCACATGCCCGGAGCTTGTAAAGATGCAGATTCTCAGAAATCTGGTTCTCTAGGATGTACAGGGACCAGAAACTGGCACTTGCAATAGGGGTCCTTGGGAATTCCAATTCTAGTGGCTCAGAGAACCATTTCTTTCTCTCTCTCTTTTTTTTTTTTTGAGAAATTTTAAATTGGATTATCTCTATGAAACTCCTCTCTCAACATTATTCAAGACTAAGATTGAGAATGACTTAACTCTAGAAACAATTATTTTCACACAACCAAAAGTAACAATGTTATTTGAAAGGTGCTGGTTACATGGTAGAACTCTCACCTTCCAGACACGCCCATCACGGTACCGACTTTAGAAAGGGAAAGGTTGCCAGGACCTGTGAGTTAAAATAAATGTCATAAAATTTACAGATAATAACAATGTTCTTATTTTTACTTAATTACACTTTACAAACTCACTTGGACTTTGAAGCTGTTGGGTGGGAGATGAAGTGCTGAAAAACTTCTTAACATGGTCATTTTTCAGTACATGAGAAGGTAATGAAGCCAAATACCTAAAAATTAAACAAAGGATTTTATCTGCATTAAAATATTACCAAAAACTGACTGTGTAGAAAAATTTACATTTTCAATTAAGGGAAGTATATACTAGGTAAAGAAGTAAACAGTAGTGCCTTTATCTATATTCGTCCTGATTTAACTCAATTTAATCTTTATTGTGATTCGTATTATTTCCCCATGCACCTTCCGTTACTTATACTGTATCAGATTGTATGAATCAAGCCTTCGCAGGCCCACTATATGGTCACTGAGCCGTAACGTGGATGCAACCCACGCCATCACAATCCCTAGGAACTTGCAGCCACTGTGCTGCAACTGGGTGTCAGGTGCTAAGGTGTCAGTGCCTGTTCTGGAGCCCAGGCAGCAGGCCTTATCCTCCCTGCACATTTAAAGAACGAGTATGCCAGGAGAGTATCCATGGGTCCAGAAACACCTGGCTTAGGAGACCTTTTTATTAGGCCCTGGATCAGTCTTAACTTTCGACTACAGGGCAGAAATAGTAATTACATATAATTTTATAAGACTGTCAAAATTACATGAAATGGTAGCATATATATTTTTTTAATTTATTGATTTTAGAGGGAGAAAAAGGAACATTGATCTATTGTTTCATTTATTTTTTAAAATTTGACCTTTATTGCATTTTTTTCCATTACCATTTAGTCCTCTTATACCTCCCTCCCCCAAGTAATCACCACACTGTTGTCCATGTCCGTAAGTCCTTTTTCCTTTTTGCTCAATCCCTCCACCCCTTAAGCTCTTCCCACCAACTAGTTGTCATACGCTCTCCATCTATGAGTGTGTCACCATTGTTCTGCTTATTTATGCATTCAATGGTTGCTTCTTGTATGTGCCCTGACCAAGGACTAAACCCACAACCCTGTCATATCAGGACAACACTCTAACCAACTGAGCTACCCAGTCAGGGCAAGTAGCACGCACTTTGAAATTCCTTTGCTCGTATCCTGGAAATCACACCTAGGTTATTAAGAGACTTCAAATTGCCCATAACAGATGAAAATCCCTAGAAACAAAGTAGACAAGCAAACCACCGAGAGTAACGTATGATGTCAAGAGCTCCTCAGATGACCAGGCAGCTCATGTCTGGACCAGCCTGACCCTGCCCACACTGCAGACATGCATCAGCCACCACTGCGCCACCCGAGGGGCTGCTCCCTATGGCCCTGGGATGGGGTAAAGAGCATTACCTCAGGTCCGCTTCCAGATCTATGTGGTTTCGCTCTACATAAAACGAATCTGGGCCAGCTAAGCAAGGAATGAATTTCTCCAAATTTTCTTCAGGGTATAGCTGAGATAACTGAAAGAAATGGAAAGCACAAGAAGTACATTAAAATTCACTTCATAAAACCAGAACTCTTCCATGTAAGAAAAACTTGGGGAGGTATTAGATGGTGACACCTGCTAGTATGATACAAAGTATCATTCTATTAGCTACTTTGGGGTTCTACATCCACTTAAGATGTAGAAAGCCACAAAAGAACATAACACTCCCACCATAACATCAAGGAATATCTTGATATTCTTATAATCATACCTTTCCTTGAGCCCAGAGAGCTGAATGTAGGGCTACCACCTGAACTGAATTGCATGAGGGACTTGTCCCTCCCAGGGGAAACAGGACATCTGAACTGTCTCAGCTGTGACAGAGTACTAGGAGGAGGTGGCCACCATGTAAGCAGGTAGAAGAGACTGGCCAAGATGCACACATTCCCACAGCCTGAGAGTGGGCCAGACATCTATCAGCCAGGAGCCCCAGACAAAAGGGGACTATACCCTGATTCCTGAGCTCTCTTCCACAGGCAGACTGGCAAGAGCCTCCACAGGTGGCACAGGTATGAGTTGGCTCCCCCTGGGGGTCAGGCAGGAAATCCTGTGCCTTTCCTTGGAACCTTCACTCAATCCACAACAAAAGTCCTTAAACTGCTGCGGGAGGAACAAGGCTGCTCCTGCTTTCAGAGCCCAAGCAAAGGCCCCAAGTTGCTATGGATGAGGCCAAAGCAATACGTTCCTGCCTCTGGCGGTGGGGTAGGATGTCTTCCTGGCACCAGGCCATGGCCAAAGATACCCTGGGCTTGGGGGGAGGTAAAAGCAAAACCCCTCTAGTCCCGAGGAAAGGGCCTACCTGGGTGGAGGACCCTGCAACATCACAGAGCAGAGGTCCACTGCTGCTGGGGAATGAAGGGTGGGGATGCTGAGAAAGCCCCTGCCAAAGGCCTTGCACTTGCACCTAAGTCTGGACCAGAAGGAGAGAAATTCCCCCCCATCAAAGTCCATCACCAGGCAATAAGCAACAGCTGTCTCCTGAGGTGGTGGTGGTTGTGGTGGTTGTGGTAGTGGTATGGGGGCATCAGAGCCGTCAACAGAGTAGGGAGACTGCCCTCTGTGCCACAGTCACGTAAGACTGCTGAAAGCTGAGTGTGATGCAAGACCACTAAGAACCTTCCTACACTCCAGGACCCGCTCAAGGCTCAAGGCACCAGCAGCTCTTTGCTGGAGAAACTGGAAGCCTGTGGCACACAGACAGTAACCACAGTAACAACAAAACCAAACCCAGCTCAACCCCTGACTGAAGCAACATGAGGACCCCACTGATGGCCTGACAGAGTGGCAGTATGCCCATTTCCAGGCACAGCATGACTTCCCCCAGTCTCTGTATTTTCTAAACAAGATTTCTAACATTCAGTCAAAAACTGTAAGGCATACCCCAGGAAAAAGAAAGAATAAAAAAACTGTCAAGATAATCATCAGAACCAGACTCAAAACTAACTCAGATGCTAGAACTAACTATCAAACAGGGATTTTAAAATAACTATAATTAACATAATAAAAGATTTAGTGGGGAAAAAAAGAACATCATGTATGAACAATTGGAAAAATTTGGCAGAGATGGAAAGTTTATTAAAAGACATGTCAAATAGAAAAGAGAGGGGAAAAACCAAATAAGAAAAAAAACAACAAGAAAACCATGCTATCAGAAATGAAGAATTCAGCAAATGTAACAGCCTCAGCAGCAGCCTGGGCTGAACTGAAGAGTAAAGTCAATAAACTGGAAGACAGGGCAACAGAAATGATCCATATTGAAACAGTGAAACGAGTAAGAAAAACAATAAGCACCCGAAAGCTGTGAAGTATCCCTGTGAAGTATATCAAAGGTCCGAGCACATGTAACTAAGTCCAGAAGTACAAGTGAGTGGGGCAGAGGAAATATCTAAAGAGATAATGGACAAGCATTTTCCAAAGTTAATGAAAAGACAGCAAACCAGACTTCCAAGAGTGCCAGAGAACCCAAAGCTGGGTGAATACAAGCCACTGCAAACACCCAGACAAAAGACCCATGCAAGGTCAGAGTTCCACCAGCATCAGGGAGTCCAGAAAACTTTCTTTCTTTTCTTTTCTTTCTAACAAAATGAGAGGACAGGCACAAAGGAAAAGAAATTTAGTGTTCTATATGTTACAGAGGAAAAGTGAGCTCCATGAAGGGTCAGTGGCCCTAGAGGAAGGCACTGTGGTCTTCTCGTGTGCCTGACATGCCAGATGGACAGGCAGAATCAAACCACCTTCTGTCCAAGCTTTTAAAATAGGGTCCACCAATGGGATGTTCCTTTACAGGATTACAGTCAAACCTTGGCTCTTGGACGCCTTGGTTCATGAACAATTTGGTCCTCAACTAAGCTGTTCGCAGAAAAACATCTTGGTTGTCTAAAAAACTTCAGGTGTTTATTCTCAACCCAACAACCCTTTCAGGCTGACACCAGCATGATCAGTCACGTGTCTCTTAGGTGACAAGGGAGATTCTGCTTTTGAACCAATCACTTCTCAAACAGTTTTCTGAGAATGAATTTCAAGAAGTTCAAGAACTGAGGTTTTACTGTATAGCCTTGCTTTTATACTGAAAATGTAAGACTCACTTTGAAAACACTTTAGATACATGTAGGTGAGTATATGTGTATGCATGTACATGTGTATACATGTAGGTAAAGAGGTATTTATTTAGCAGTGCAAGCTTTTGTTCAAATAATATTTGTCGAATTAACCCTAAAATGAACAGGAAAATCGAATGTGTCAAACAGGTAAAGGTGGGACTACGTGAAGTCTCTCCCTCAGCCTCTGCTGAAGAGCTGCCAAACCAAACCAAGCCAAGCACCCTCAGTCATCTGTGCAGTCGCATCTTCTGCCTCAGCTCATTCTCAACAAGTGGGAGGCGTCCAGACTGGCATCGAGGACCGTGTGTTTACTGCTGCACTCCGTTAGACACAGACCTTGGACTTCCTGTGGACAGGAGCGAGTTCCAGGCACACACTCACTATGCTAGCTGAAGAAAGCCGTCCACTGAAATCACTCTGCAGTATTACCAACCACAGGGAACCAGAGCCTTCTCATTTTTAGAAGAGCCCTTAATCACCTTACCTTTGAAATAAATTCAGTCACTTCAGAGGAAGATTTGGTTACGGATGTTACTGAAGAGTCAGACCACAAGACCTTAAAAACAAACAAACAAACAAACCTTAAAAACAGACACCACATACGTAATCCACAGCATGCTTGTCCAGGCATTCTTGCGGGCACAGGTGTCATGGACACAACAGGCCCTAGTATACTGTGCGTCTTGTGAATGGAGCATTTACACATTCATTGACTTGTTAGAGAAAGAGCATTCACTCAGGTCCAAAGCTTAACTCTGTCTTTTGGGTAATTATTCAAATATTGCCAAATTACTCAAGCATGGAGTCTAAGGTCTGCTCCTCAAAGTTCTAACAAGTCACTGACAACTATGGCTTGTGATGCCCATATACATCGCCCTCAAGCAGACCTCCTCTCCTCAGGTCATTGTGCACAACTTTGGATGCAAATCAAGAAGTTACTAGAAATCAGCCCAGGCATCCACACAATAAGCACTTGTATGTGCCCCTGCCCTCAGGAAGCTCACAGAACTGGGGGCCCCGTGGGAGAAAATCCTTAACAGGCCAGGACATCAATACTAAACAGCAGAGAAAATCCTCCCTGGTGGGGAAGTGTAGGAAGAATCTGCGGAGAAAACATCAGAAAAAGGGCTTTCTGGAAGAAGTTCCACAATGTCTGGTATGCCAAAGACCTGGTTATACATGTCTGTTTTCCCTTGCCTGCGTGTATGAGGATGGGTAGTTTTGTTTCATTTCTTCGTAACTGTCAGTCTCCTCAAACTGACTAAGCTCCCTGGGGGAGAGGGCCGGGTCTTTTTTTTTCAGTTTTCTCTCCACATGTCTCACAATGTTTCCCCCCAAGGTGCTAGATGCACATGAGCGGAAGGGGGAAGACACCTATGAACATCATCGGAGGGCTTTTCTGCATGAGAAAAGCATGAGCTGAATTCAGATGGGCAAGCAGGAGGCCTGCTAAAGGAATGAGGCAGACAAAGAGGACAGAATGCGATGACTGGGAGGGAGGGGCCAGAATAAGAAAGGTTCAACCACGAAACAGAAACTTTACCCTAAACTCCAAAAGAAGCCACTGGACGATTTCAAGTCAGGAAATAAAATGACCAAATATGTTGTATTTTATTACCAAAAAGAAAGCATTATATTTATACTGATTTAGAGCAAACAGAGCCTGGAGATATCAAAACCACCTTCTGCTCCCCTCCCCCCCCACATGCCCTCATCATGTATGCTGCGGGTCTCCTTTGGCCTGGAAGGACTGCTGTCTCCCCTCTTGCCTGCTGAAGTCCACATAAGTTCCTTTCTACTTCAGTAGCTGTCACACTACACAAAAATTACTAAGGCATTTGTTTCATCAAGATCCCATTAAATACAAGCTACCTAAGGAAAAGGACCATCCTCTTCACCTTTGAATTCCCAACTACAGGAATTCACCAATAAGGCAAGCACTGGCATTCTCTGAACAAACTTGCCTTGCCATCTAAAAACTACCTACACTAAAAGGAAAACACCCAAGTTGTTTTTGTCTAAAACAATCAAATCTTACAACAACATTAAAAAGAAGTTTGGTGGTGGTCACTGGGGGGCAAGCTGCTTCCCACACAAACACAAGTAACATCTATGATGGAAAGTGAAAACTTTCTAGTCATTAGATGTGTGAGTCAAAGCACTGTTGACATCCTCTGTGATGTGGAAAACCTGTCTTTTCCTTATGATAATAATGTTCTAGTTTGAATCTATTCTCTCTTTCCTTCCACAGTCACATCCCATGAGTGCATCCTAACCCAACTGAAACATGAAATCCAACACCCAAAGAGTACGGGCAGCATGCACAGACCACTTTATATTGAATTGACAATCTTCATCCCCAACAATTATGTACTTTAAATAAGTACAACTACCTTAGGTTGTCTGCTACTGATACATTTTTCTTTTACTTCCAAATGGAACTGATATTTCAACTGAAGGCAGACAGGAAGCCAAGACCTAGAAACAAGAGCTCACTTCCAGGCTGGGTTCAGCACTACTGTGCTCTGCAGATGAGGCAGGATTATTTCACCCTCACATCCTCTGCCTCTGCTCGTCTGCCGGCCCATTCCCTTGTGCCAGATGAAGGGAGAGGCCACAGAGGGGTATGGATATGACAGAAAAGCCCCACATCATGCAATGTACTAGAGAGACGCGTGCCCTGCCAAATCCCAAGGTGGAATAAATTACAATCAACCCCATTACTTTATGTACCAAGAAAACATATTCCCAATCAAGTTATGGCACATTATTTTCCTACCGCTTAATCAAAGAGCTACTTGGCCTTACTGAGACAGGTCTAACACATCTTAAGCATCCACAAAAAGCAAAATATGCACAAAATAGCTACATACTTAGGATCTCTTCACACTCAAGAGTATAATTCTGACTCACTTTTCACCTTGATCATGTTTTTCCACACAGCATCATGTTCCAAAGCATGTGGAGTGACATTTTCTTCACCCTACACAAGAATCCGCCAGCCAGAAGCCCCTTCGCCCTGCTCATGCCACACCCTAAGGTGAGTGGGAGACCCAGGGCCACCACACCTACTGCCAGGCTTCTGAGAATCCCAAACCAACCACAGAGATGGGCAAAGCAGTCACACAGGACAAGGCAGCCTGGAGGAAGCACAGACCATGCATGGAGAAGAAAACTTTAAAAGTAAAACTGTCCTTAATACTCTTAGTGAACTAAGAAAGCATAACCAAAGACAAGATGCTACAAAAAAAGAGTTGTCACAGAACAAGTAGTCTTTGAAATTGAAAATAGGATAGCAAAAAGTGAAATGAATTCAATTGAAAAGATGAAAGATGTAGTAATCTTCCATAAAGTAGATCACAAAAGAAAAAAACAAAGGGAAAGAAAATAGAGGGGAAAAAGACAACAAAAAAACTAAGGACAATTCTTAGTTTTGGCCAATTTTAAGGACAATTCTTAGGCCCAAAATGCAGATAAGAGTTCCAAAACAAGAAAACAGAAAACTGGGGCAGAGGAAATCAAAAGGACTGGTCCAAGAAAATGTCCCTAAATTAATGGATGTGAGTTTTTAGATTAAAGGGCCCACTGTATCTCAGCATATGACGACTATGGACCTACACCCAAGCACATCTCCAAGAAATGTGCAAACACTTGGGACTGAGAAAGTTCTGAAAACTGATAAAGACTGAAAAACAGGTCTGAATGCAGGATCAGGAACCAAAATAGATTTCTGATTCCCAACAGCAACACTGCAAGACAGTCAATAAGCAGTGCTTCCAAAGTCCTAAGGAAAAAGACGCCCAACTGTATTCTCAATGTCAGGATGAAAAGACAAAGGCACTTCCAGACATGAAAAGTCTCATAAACTGTACCCCCCAAACACCCTTTCTAAGAAACAACCAGATTAACTACTAAACCAAGACTAACTTAAGACAAAAGATGACCTATGACCTGAGAACATGGGACCAGAGCTGGGAGGGAGGAAGGAACCTCCAGGTGATGATGAAAAGGGACCCCATGATGAGAACTGTGTGAAGGGCTGAGGAACTTGAGTCCAAGTTGGAGCAGAGCCACAGCTCCAAAGACGAAACCAATAGGAGACTGGACACATCTCAACAAGGAGAGCTGCAGACACCTAGGGAAAACCTTAGGAGTGAGGTCTTTTTGTAAGCACTTGCCCCTGGCAAAAACAAAAACAAGCAAAATGAGACTCATAACTCCAGGGAAAACATAACTTTGGAATGAAAAGCACTAAGCAAGCGTCATACGGCTTCAGTACCAACAACCTTCACATAGTCACACTAATTATGATACAACCAGAGGCACATATCAAAAGAAACAGTTCCCTGTGACTCTGGACAATGTATGCAGAATTACTGGACTCTTGAAACTGTGTGTGTGTGTGTGTATCCAATGAAAACAAAATTGAAAAAGTAGTCACCAAGGCTCACCCTTTGCTAATATTGATAAAATATTCAGAGCAATTAACATTGTTTAGAGATGAAAAATTAAATATTAAAGAAAAGATAAAGCACCATGATAGATATAATCTCTAGGTTCTTAAGGAAAATAGCATAAAAATAATTCTTTTTAATTCACAGTGTTCTATAGTTCCTCTTAAGTCATTAAAGCTCTACAATCTAGTAGGTGCTTCAAGGGTTTGGGTAGTCGTTTGAGGATTTTTTCCCTCCCTTTCCTTCATGTGTAATAACTAAAGTAAATGTTTTAAAAACGTTTTTTAGTTACTCTCATTTCTCAGTAGTGATTTTGGAAAATCTGGTAACATGTGGACATTTCACACATACATAGTTACATACTGATTTTATTCTGTCACCTGCTTCCTATATACTGATTTGGTTTCCTCAGTTACTAGTAACTAGCAATTACAACTTCAGCAAAAACAAAACCATCTCCATGGAAAAGAACAGAAAATTCAAAATTCCTATTTGTAGTACATTTGTGTATTTTGAAATCATCTTGATCTGGGGTTAGATCTTCCTATAAAGGAGTAACCTTTAATTTGTATCCTGGAAAACAATGACCCATAAAAGTTACAACTACACATAAATAAGGCTGAGGAAATTGGTGTGGCAGAGAGACATTGATTTCCCCCTGAATAAGTGAAGGCTTTCAGAAAAATTACTTCACTGAGTCCTTCCATATTCTTAGCAACAAACTGTCACATCTCATTGAGGCTGGCAGATACTCCTAATAAGATTTTTTTACTGTTCTGGTCACAGTATAATAGCTATTTATTTCCACATACAAAGGATAACCTATGTAAAGAACTCTTTAATCTTGATTAATTAGGGTTCTGACGACAAAAGGGCAGGTAATTTTTATTAAAAAGTTTTATTAACTTAAAACTGACATCAAACTGTACATATGAGGTCTGTCCAGAAAAAGCCCAGCAATCGTTAAGATAAGAACAGTTTGTGCCACATTGATGTAGCCTGGCAGCCAAGGAGAGTGGCCTGGAATGTGCATGTGTGAACAATGACAACTGCACTGTGCTAGTCAGTGGGGGTAGCAGATGCCACTGAGTGAGCACGTGTACTGTGTGGCCATCACATTCAAAATGACCAAGTGAGTAGAGCAATGAATTCTGCACCAAACTTTGTGTTAACCTTGAACATTCCCCCACAGAAACTACTGGGATGACTCAGAAGGCTGAAGCTATGGGCAACTGGTGATTTACAGCTTCCCACAACAATGTGCGTGTTAATGCATCACGTCTTGTGAAGAGTTTTTTGATAAAACATCAAATCACCCAGGTGACTCAGTCTCCCTAGAGCCCCAACTTGGTGCCCTGCTGGCTTGTCCCAAAACTAAAATCACCTGTAAAAGGGAAGAGATTTCAAACTGTTGATGAGATTCAGGAAGATACAACAAGACAGCTGATGGCAATTGGAAGAATGTGCGAGGTCCAAGGTGCCTACTTTGAAGGAGACTGAGGCATCATTGTTCTATGTACAGTGTTTCTTTTATCTTGTATCTTCTTCAATAAATGTGTCCATTTTTCATAGTACATGGCTGGACACCTTCATATTTCAGACAAATCTCATGTTTCAAGGGCACAAACTGATGTTTCAACATGTTTACGCCCATTGTGAAACTATCACACCAATCAATATAATGAATATATACTTCACCCTTAAATCTTCCTCCTGCCCCTCCCCAGGAGGCCCTGATCTGCTTTCTGCCACTGTTTGCATTTTTAGAATTTTATGTAAATGAACCTTTTTAATTTTGGGGGGGTGGGGGTGAGGGGAGTCTGGTTTCTTTCACACAGCATATGAGTTCCATCCGCATTAGTGAGTGTATCACCATTTCACTCCTGTTCCCTCTGAGCAGTGCCCCACTGTACGAACACGCAGCCAGGGTTTGTTCACCATTTTCCCGCGGAGGGTGCTTGGGGTGTTACAAACAAGGCTGTTATGAACGTTCATGCACAAATCTTTGTACAAACATATGCTTTCATTTCCTTTGGGTAAATACCTAGAAGTGGAATTGATGAGTCATATTTTAGGGATATGTTTAACTTTAAAAAAAACTATCAAACTGTTTTCCAAAGTACTTGTACCATTTTACATCCCCACCAATAGTGTAGGAGAGCTCCAGTTCTTCCACATACCTGCCAACACTTGGTATGGTGAGTTTTTTTAATTGTGGTCATTCTAATGGGCATCTAGTATTATCTCACAGTGGTTTTAATGGGTATTTTCCTAACGACTAATGATGCTAAACATCTGTTCGTGAGCTCTTTGACATCCATACATCTTCCTTGGCAAAGTACCTATTCAAATCTTCAGCTCATTTTTTAATGGGTTGTTTTCTTACTGAGTATGATGGGTCTTTATGTACTTTGAATACAAATCATTTACTAGATATGCAATTTGCAATTATTTTCTCCTAATTCATGCCTTGTCTATTCATTTTCTTAACAGTGCCTTTCAAAGAACAAGTTTTAAATTCTGATGAAGTCTAATATATTTATTTTGCATATTATGGATAATTTTGGTACTGTATCCAAAAAACCTTTGCCTCAAAACTTTGTCACAAAGTTCTCTCCTATGCTTTCTTCTAGAACTTTTGTAGCTTTAGGTTCTACACTTAAGTCTAAAATCAATTTTAAGTTAATTCTGTATTAAGAGGTGAGACTTGGTTAAGGTTCATTTTTTTGTATATGAGTATCTGTTCCAAAGCCATTTGTTGAAAAAAAATCCTTTCTTCATTGAGCTGCCTTTACACCTTTGTCAAAAATCAATGGACCATTTACATCTGAGTCTAAATCTGGACTGTGTTTTGTTCTGATCGATACCTCTACCCTTTCAGCAACACCCTGGTGTCAGGGTTCCTGGGGCGTAACAGGAAGTCTTAAAACCTTCAGGAAATATGAGTCTTCCAACTTTTTTCTTCTTTTCCAAATTGTTTCGACTACTCTATAGTTCTTTCTACATAAGTTTTAGAATCAACTTGATTTCTAAAACAGAAAATCCTACTGGGACTTACTCTTCAGGGGCCATTACAACGATGGAAAGTTTAAAGATGCGTTGTCATTTCCTTGTATGATCTGATGGCAGCTAGCCAAAGTGACTGCAGTGAAACACCAGGAGCTATAAAACCATACAGTGGCTCCACTTTTCCTCCATGTGAATGATACATATCTGCATCCTATAAGCAGCTGCTTATTTAAGAGTAGAAGACTTCAACTCACCAGGCACATAAGCACACAGTTTAAGCAGCACAAATTAATGGTGTGTTTTATAAATAATTTTTTTAATGTTGATTATCTTTTCTTTGTGCCGTGAATACCATCCAACAAATGCAGTCTGAACTATAAATTCCTTTCGGTACATCAAGTTCGCACCTCAAAAGAACCGATAGCTGGACTGCTGCATAGTGAAGGACACTTTTCTGAACATAAGAATACTTTTAAAATCATTTATCACATCAGGAAAAGTCAGCTTTTCAGACACTTCAGCTTACTTACTGGGGTAAAGACATCTTCAATCGGACACCTAACCCCGTGTGACAGTTACCAATGTCAGCATTAAGCAAGCGTCGCTGGTCTAGTGCAGCAGCCTCGGAGCTGGGACTGGCCCAAAGGCCACAGCTCCAGGCTCCTTCCGGAGCTGTCCAGCTTGCTTTCAGAGGACTCTGGCATGGGCCCCCATCCCCACCAGCCTGTTGCTGTCCTTTTCTCCTGATCATAACCCCCTCCTCCAAGAAGAAGCTGTGAGAGGCCAAGTGTCTACTTTGCCAAAGCTCATTTTTTAGCGAGCAGCTGCAAACAATTGTGTTGTATGTGGTTCCTGCATCTCACACTGCGTAAGCCCGATTCCCTGACACAAGTAACAGGACTGAAAATGGGGGCGAATCAAAGCCCAGATGATCAGACAGACTGTGAATGGGGCCAACCACCCCTGAGACGCTCCATGCTCAGCAGTCTCCTGATGGTAGCCCCTGTAGAGGCAGATGATGATTGCTAAACACCCTTCAGGGAAAACCTGATGGCGAAAGGCAGAGAGTAGAGAGGAAGGGATAGCACATCCAGGTCTGGGGACTTGCTGGGCTCCCAGTACCTACTAGGCCTGGAAGATGCTGGGATTCAAGGTTCTCTGGGTGCTAGGACTTGAGTGCCAGCTGCAAGCTTTAACAATCTCCAAAACCTAACTTAAGTCTTTCCTGTACATTTTGAAAAGTCATCATAGCTTAACAACTGATTCTCACAATGTAGCACCTCCCAAATCAAAGGAAGATTTTATCCTTTTAGTGGAAAATGTATTTAAAGCATTTTGAATCTGCTACACTGTGAAAAACTAGTAAACTTCACATAGTATACGAACTACTGTATTTTGCCGGGTGTAATGTGCAGTTTTTTGCCCAAATTTTTGAGGGAAAAATAAGGGTGTGCATTATACATGGGTAGTACCTGAAATACCTTGTATATGTTCTTGTGTTTTGTAATTATTTGCTACATAAAATGTCTTGTACCATGATATGTTAAAAAATAAATGCTAAAATTCCTTTACAATACAAAAAACAAGTATCTAAATATAAATTAAAAAACTGAATTAAAAATTAAAACAAAAGACTTTTTTTCCTGAAAGTTTGGGCCAAAACCATGGTTGTGCATTATAGACAGAACACATTATACATGGCGAAATACGGTAGATACTCTTTAGTAAACTGCACTTAGTATATATACTAGACACTAAGCAGAAGCTTTCACTCCTGAGAACATTCCCCAATATTGTGGGAAGCAGATTTTCCTTAACAATCAGTATTCAGGTGCGTGGTCAAAAGAGATGTTCACACAACACTGCTGGGCAGGTAACAGAAATTCATTTCCCAGCCTCTCCCATAGTTAAGTGGGACCAAGAAACTAAGTCATGGTCAACAAAACATAAGCAACATGAAGTAGCTGCTTTTAAGAATGTTCCTTAAAGAAAGATAAAACCTTTCCCCTTCTCTTCATGCTGTATCTTGCTATATGGAATGAAAATGTGAGGACAGGAGCCCTAGCTGCCATCCTGGGCCACGAGGCTAAGGTTCACCTCCTAGGGATATCCAGGCAGCCAGCTGGAGAAAGCCTGGACCCTAGAAATTTTCAAGAGCGCAACTGCCATACCAACACCAGGCCACCTCCCTGTTGTTTCAGACATTGTCACTGAGGGTCTTTAACCCTAATATACATTGCGTCTCAATTTTTAAGATTCTCTACTTCAGCCAACTTATGTGACCAACTACCAGCAGCTGAGCATATCAGTCGACAGAATGTTCACCATACAGACCAAGAAGCATTTGTCATCCAGTGGGTACAGAAGAACAGCTTTTGTTTGCAGGCTTTTACTGCTTCCAGACCTTGTGCTGAGTGCTCTGAAGGGGCTGTCTCCTTTAATTCTCCCCAAAACCCCTCCTCCTTTACTGACTGGAGGTGTTGGGGCACAGATGTTCAGCACTGTCCTCAGTCACATGGCCAACAGGGACAGGGCTGGACTGTTGTTAATGCCAGGCAGTTCTAGAGCCCAGGCCCCTCCCCCTCATGGAGGCCACTGAGGTCATGGAGTGAGCATCCTGTGGGCCGGAAGCCCAACAAGCCCCATCCTGGAGGGGGCCCACCCCCAGGCTGAGTCCCAGCTTTCTCTCTCCCACAGCACTGACAGTGCTTTGTAAAAAGGCCCATCTTTTATTTAGATAAATAAAAGTATCAATTCATGGTAAATGTTTCTTTCCTATCCCTTAGAGGAGAAAAGGGAAAAAAAACTTAGCATCTTACCTCAAAGGAACATTCAACATTTCTTTCATTTTTTTTGTGTGATAATCCCTTCAGGTCTATCTTTTCAACACTCACTGCAAAAGTAAAACAAAAAACAAAAACAAAAACACAAAAACAACAAATAAAATTATAAAAATGAAATAAAATCTTGAGGTACATATTATTTTATTTAGCATTTGATATTTTAGCAATTTTCAAAATAAGGCTCTCAACGCCCAATGCTGCTCAGTCTCTTCTGCGGTGTGTTCACCTGGAATGAGAAACTTAAGAAGAAGGCAAAAATCTGTCACGCTGAGGAATGGAGGGTGAATTTAAAAGCAAGAAAAACAGGCAAAAAAATAAATACAAATTATAGAAAAAGAAGAGAACAGTGCTTGGAAAGAGAACGAAGTTTATTTGAATGCACAAGAATATGAATACTAATTATAATGAAGATTAGTTATGATCTGTTCCAATTTCTGAAAAACTAATGCTCAACATTTTCTACTGTTACTGTTTTAGACAGAGCTGCCCAGAGCCTCCTATATTGAGTCTTCCCGTCAACAGAGCACGGCCTCATCCTTCTCTGACAGGGCATGCCTCAAGGGGGGCAGGGCGGTGGATGCAGAAGAAACCGTGAAGACTCCTAACCCTGCCTCTAGAGAACATACATACTGAGGACCGGTCAGGGACTGGCTGCACAGAGTGACAATGACAAAAAAGACAAACCACCATTAAGAGAGAGTTCTAAAGTCATCAGTGTCTTCATACCACCCTTTTCACATATGTGAGCACATTCTTTTCTGCTCAAAAATGGAATGATACATTAGACTCATCTTCCCCTGTTAATTTTTACTATTTTTAGAGGACATATGGCAGTGTTCTGTGAGGATTTACACAGATCTTTCAACCCAACTGTCCAATATGAAATACTCAACTTATCAAAACTATTGTTACAATTCTCGCAGATGCCTGATCTCCTGGCCTGCCACACCAATGTTTCCCAAAGTATTCTCCAAGGAACACCAGTTGTGTAAGATGTTCAGGGCCACCCCTGAACACCTTCATAGTCAAAAAGTTTGGAGGAAAAAATCTGAAAAACTCCTTGTATACTGTCTACGTACATCAGCAAATTACAGGCTCTGAGAAGCCACGCAACAAATAAATCTTTTTGTTAACAACAATTCCCCAATTATTTGGGGCCACAGAACTTTCTTCCCTAATATGTATGAACATCTCAGAGAAAACAAACTGCTCTGTGTAACATGCTTTGGGGGAGTTTCTAACCCTGCACTACCCAATAGTGTAGCCACCAACCACATGTGACCATTTAAATTTGTATTAATTTCAACTGAACAAAATTAAAATCTAATTCTTCAGCTGCACTAACCACATCCTAAGTGGTCAACAGCTCTGTGGGGCCAGTGTCTACCATGCCATACACACAGACACAGAACATTCAATCATCAGACAGTTCTGCTGGGCAGTGCTGCACTAAGCCAGGGGCTGACAAACTGCAGGCTGCCCTCCGCCTGTGGGTATAAATGGTTTTACTGGCACACAGCCATACCATTTGCTTACATATAATGGCTGCTTTCCACCCCCAAAAGCTGAGCCACTGTATGGCTCCCGAAGCCAAAAATATTTACTATCTGGATCTTTGCAGAAAAATATTTGCCAGACTCTGCTCTAAACCAACAATTGTTCTGCATTCACCAACATGCCTTATGAAGTTCCTGCTGTGGACCAGGTCTCATTCTAGGGGCTGGGAATACAACAGTGAATAGGATAGGTGGGTTGTTGTGCTCATACCATTACAGTCTAAAAGGGAAAGGACCTTCGCTTGCTAAATTATTCTCTCATAAACTTTCCTAATTTTGTCAAGTTGCATCAGGGTTCATATGCATCTTGGGAGATACTAGAACCCATTTGGTTTAGTGTATTTTAAGTTTAAAATAGCACCTTACAGGAAGGAATTACTCTTAAAAAATAAGAATGTTTCCTTTCTGGCAAAACAAAACACTACATTTAGAACTTGTACACCTCCTTATTTTCACTCAAACTACTCACTGTTCCTGTTTGACTTCCTCAGTCAGACTGTCAGCAAATAAACAGCGCTTATGTTTTCCCAACCAGTATTTTAAAAAACTTACCCGCAATGACATCACTCTAATCCAGATCTTTAACTTTTTAAACAACAGAGTATATAAAGTCGATGAATACAGAAAAATGTAGTCAGCATTTTCCCTGGCCACAGAACACCAATGGGTACCTAAATGTCCAGAACTAAATAATATTAGGATTTATGGGGGAAAACAAAAACAAAAACAAAAAAAAACCCCTCATCTGGATTGAAAGCAGGAAGTGACTCATATCTGGACAGCAAAATGTGAAAAGCAGATGAACATTATTCAGTTGTTTTGAAATAAAAGAGGCATTTGAACTCCAGGACTAAAATGTTTGTGAGAACTCTTCAAAATCATCAGACCAACCAACATCAGCTGTATCAGCTCTGTGTGTACAAGGAGCTGCTGCAGTGGCTTTAGCCACCGGGGCAGCCCTGGACCAAATAAATGGTTTAAAAGTTCTGCTACAGTGAATTCTCTCCATGTTGCCCTCCCTGCAAACAACACCCCCTACTATACAGGGCTCTGAAAATGGGAGAAGGGGAGCCTACTGGAATGGAAAGGCAGGAGGGCACCTGCCAAATGATTTTCTGTAGCAGATTATCAGTGATGGCAGTGGCTAATGTGGAAGGTGGGGTTATGAGATATCTAAGTTTCAAAGACATTTAAGCACATTCTCAGTTTTGGAGCTATATTAAAGACAATTATAAAAACAAAACCATGAAAAAACACTTATAATATCAACTGAAAGATTATAAATTGTATGTGAAACATGATTATAGTTGTTTAAAATGTAAATGAAAAGCAGACTAAAAATAAATCATCAAAAATAACAGCAATGAGTCCTGACAGGTGTGGCTAGTTAGTTGAGCATCCTGCAAAACCGAAGGTTGCCAGCTGGATTCCTGGTCGGGGCTCTGCCTGGGTTGTGGGCCAGGTTCCAGGTTAGGGCACATGTGAAGGGCAATCGATTGATGCTTCTCTCACATAGAAGTTTCTCTCTCTCTTTCTCCCTCTCTTCCTCTCCTCCAAAAATAAATAAATAAATAAATAAATCTCTTTTAAAAATCATGGCAATGATAGGAATGACTTTGACTGGTGGTGAAATTATAGGTAGCTTTCCCTCCGAATTTCTATAATGTGGTTTCATAATGTTAAAGTGTGTATCTATATGCATACATATACCTACTTATAATCTGTTTAACGTCTATTGGTAGATAAAATGACCCCCCTTTCCTTTTCACCTGCCTGGTCAGTCCTGTAGGCTATCATCTATTGCCGCATAGTAACCCCACTACCTTCTGGAGTACAAACATATGTGTGTAAATTTTAATGGCTAGACAATCAGTCCATCACCTGAAAGGACAGAACAGAATGAAAGGTGACTGTAAAGACAGGATGTGCGTCAACTGAAAAGACTCAAAGACTGAGAGAGCACACTTCTATCTGGCCGGAGACAAGCCAGTCACGGCCAGGAACAGTGCTCTAAAAAGCAGACTGGGAAGGACTGGAACGTCCATCAGGGGAGAAACTTGGGGGGGATGGGGAGAAGTGGGGCTGGGGTCTAGACTGTGTAGAAGCACGTCTATGTAAGACAGATGGAGCTGGGACAAACGGGTGTGAGGCTAGACCATGTGGAAACAAGAAAGAAAAGGATGATTTGCTTTTCCCTTTTTAAAACTTTGTTCCAACTTTTCTTCTTTTCTTCATTCAAGATGCACACTAGAAACTCTCAGATCTTACAAGATACAGTAAATCACATAACCTTAAATAAAATGTATAATTGCATTACATTTTTAAAATAATTGAATCAATAACTAATTTTAAAAACCAATACACTAATGTAACTGAAATAAGAGGGAGGGAAATTTGTGTAAAGAGAAAGTACAGATGTGTCATAATAAAAGCCCAGGCAAGCAACTGAAAGACCTGAGGCAGGATCAGGCAACCACACGGGGATGGGGGCTGGCAAAAAAGTCACAAATGACTTAGGATGATGATGACTGACCAAGAGGCCACAAAGCCAGCAGGTAGCAAAGCCAGGACCAGGAACACACTCTTTTCATTTCAGTCCAGGGAGCTCCTGGATAAAACTGCCACAGCCTAAGGGCCACTTTTGCTACCAAGCATCTTCAAATGATTTGTAAGAGCCAACTGTCACATCAGTACTTAAGACACCTATTGCTAATGGCTTTAATATGTTCCAAGAATGAACTACTCTTTTGAAATATTTTCCCTTTCTAAATTTTTCTGGAAAAAACTAGATGGTTGGTAGTTTTCTGCCAAATATGTTTTTTACTCGATTTCAATGTATCATTATTAAACAATTTAATTTTATATGCCCAATAACAAGCAACAACTTCAAAAATTACCAAAACTATACTAAAATAAATCAGAGTAAATAAGGTATTATTAATAATTGAGGAAAAAGATGAAAAAAATTTTTCTAACACACACACTCTCCTTCTCCTAAGTTCTATGCAGTAGAACTCAAGTCTTCACACTTGAAATAAAGAAACTAAATCAGATTAATATTTAAGATGCTTCTTGCTTTCAAATTTTATTAGTGAAATCTAGTTTTCATTTAAAAATTGAAAAACTATATTCTTTTTTTTATTTTATTTTAATCATTGTTCAATTACAGTTTTCTCCTTTTTTACTCCCAATCCAGCCCCCCTGAAAAACTATATTCTTTAAAAAAAGTCGCAGCTCAATAACAATATTTCTAAAATAGCAACTTAACTTTCTCACTTTCATTTACTTGCCTGTGTTAATGGTGATCATTTTTAGAAGCAGTACTTCCTTCATCTGTTCTTAAAATGTGAACATTCACTACTATACTGATTAAGTTGATCCTTTTCTACATCTTTTTAGGACATGTATCATGTTATATTTTAAAACTCTCATATATATTTTTCTTTGCTTTTTCAATCACCTAGCTACCTTGCCTTATTTGATCTGTTAGTTCTCCAGAAGGAGAGATAGAAACAAAAGTAGTGCATAACTGAGAAAACACAGCGCTGACACAAGATATTTCTAAAGTAGCAAACATAAGAAAGGAATATGCATTTTCCATCTAAGTGCTTAGTGATAAGATACTTGAATTTTGGAGCCTGAGGAATTTCACTGATTTATGTATCAGGGACAAATATTTTCTTCAGCATTAGTATACATTCAGCACAGTACCAGCTATGTGGTAGAAAAATTACAGAGTTCAAAGTGGTAATGCTTGAGCTAGACCTCAAAGGGAAGGGCCCACTTGGGCAGAAAAGACATGGTGACCCAGGCCCAGGTATGACAGTACGTGATATTTGAATAAGTTTAGTCATAGCCAAAACCATGACACGAAGATAAGTGTGACAGCAGAGCAGAGAGGGGAGGACAGTCACAAGGAGGCAAAGGCACAAACAGGACCAACCCATCAACTCCACAACAGGCACATAAAGAAACTTGGGCCTTCCTGCAGGTCAAGGTAAACTCACAGGCTCTGCAGCCAGCCCTGCTCAGTCTGAAACATGACACTTCCCAGCTAAGTGACCTTGAGCAGTTATTTAATCCGGGAACAAAGGGAATGATGGTTTTCACTTCGTGGAATTGTGGTATCAACCAGATGAATACACACAAACTGCAGGATGGCACCTCATGGTAGTTAGTGCTGTAGGAGATCAGCTGCTGCCATCATCAGTGCTGCTGACAGGCTTCCTAAGCAGGGGACCATGATCCAAAATGCTGGAGAGGTCCCTGCTCAGGAAATGGGCTGGAGAGGTGAACCTGTGGGTGGCAGAGCAGACTGAGGCCTGAACCAGGACGGGGGCCCAGGGCCAATGAGAAGCTGTGACAGCCTTACAGGGCCACACCTGCCAGGACTATAAGGGCTGACACACCTCAAGAGGGAGAGAGAACTGTCATGGACTTCCAGGTTTTGACCCAAGTGCTTGAATGCTGGTATCAATCACGAATATTGGAAACCCATTTCAGGGGGTAGCAATGAAAGTAATGACTGCATCCTAAGCATTCCGACCGAGGTACCAGTAAACCATCTAGGTGGAAACAGTCAGTAACTGGCAGGTTCACAGGGATTTCAGGTCCAGAAGGGTCTCAGCTGGACTCACTCCTGAATTCAACAGATCGACAGTGGCTTCAACACAGGCTCAGAGAAGACTGCTCAGACAGTGTGAAGTAGGGGACCAGGAAAGAGCCTGGAGAGCACTGATGTGTAAGGGGCAGAAGAAGAAGCAATTACAAAGGAAACAAAAGTGAACAGAAAGGCAGGAGGAAAACCAGGTGTGTTGTCAGGAAACCTGTGCGGCACACCACACCAGTGCTTATTATGTATGTCTGATGTTCCACAACTTAAAAATGAAAAAACGAAAAAACAAAAAAGCAAAAACAAGGTAGGACAAAGTCTAGAGTGGAGTGATCACAAATGACAGGTGAAGATAGAGCCAACTTGTCACCCAAGGAGGCATCGTGACCTTCCATGAGAGCAGCATGCTGACGTCAGAGGTCACAGAGAACCCATCCTTCTTCCAGGAAGTAGGCTGTGGGTTGTGGGCATACAGTGCACAGGATCATACATGACAACTATGGCAGGTCAAGAGAACTACTGTGATGGTTAACAACTCACTTGAAAATACACCAAAAAATGCAGTGTCTTGATGGATGGAGAGATGGGCAAATAAGGGAAAGGCAAATAAAGTAAAATGAAACTGTGAAATCTAGGTGGCAGCTATTCACTGTAAAATTCTTTGAACTTTACTATATATGCTTGAACGTCTTCATAATAAAATGTTGAATAAAGAGCCAGTAGAGAAATTAAAATTATCAAGGCTTCTCAATTACAAATGCACATTAGAATCCCCAGTACAACCTAACAAATAATAATATACTACTGATATTTTAGAGTTTAGGCTTTAATGTAATTCTTATTAGAATTCACATTCTAGTTCTCTGGGTTGGGTTTTATTTTAAAAAAAGAACATGACTTTTCATCATGACAATGCTGCATGACAAACAAAAACTCTCATTGGCTCAAAACAAAAAGCATTTCTTTAGGTTAAAAAATAGCCCTGTCTAATGTGACTCAGTGGATTGAATTCAGGCCTGTGAACCAGAGTCGCTGGTTTGATGCTCAGTCAGGGCACATGCCTGGATTGCAGGCCAGGTCCCCAGTAGGAGGTGTGTGAGAGACAACTACACACTGACATTTCTCTCCCTCTCTTTCTCCCTCCCTTCCCCTCTCTCTAAAGATAAGTAAAATCTTAAAAAAAAATACCAGTTTTAATCTACAATGTACTAAATATCTGTAGATATAACCTATATAAACAAGCTTTTTGGAATCAATTTTTAAGAATTCAAAGGGTCCCGAGATAAAAAAAAAACCTTTCAGAACTTCTGGTAAATGATCTGCAGTTTAATGAAACTCTCTTTTACTATTATCACAAAAGGATAATTAAAAAAATAACTACTTGAAGTCTAGAGAAAAAAGTTACTTATAGAACTTCTTTCACTTAGAGTATTATTAAAAGTAATTTCCACCTCACCTTGTACATTATAACTCTCCCCCTACATTTTAAAAATGATCAGTACTAGGGATAAGTCTGGGCAGACCAGGAGCTCTCCCAGAGTGCACAACGGCCCCGTGCAACACTCCTGGGTAACTCGAGGCCCCAGAGGAAGACACCATTGATTGCTTGTTGCTGCAGCCAGGTGCAGGCCACTTACTCTACTGTTCTCTATATGCTAGTACCTGAAAATCTTCCCAATCAACAGTATAGAAAAAAGGGTAACACTTTCACCTTTTAATGTGTCTTTTTAAGCACTGCACCTTGATTTTCGTTTTCTGTTCTCTTCAGTCTCACCTAAGCAGTAAGAGCATTAGCTCTGGGTTGGAATCCCAGCTTACCTTGGGAACATTACTTATCTGTGACTCAGTTCTCCCATCTGTAAAATGGAATAATAATCTCCTAATGGGATTGTTGTTAGAATTATATAGGTATAACTGAGCCCCTACAGAACTCTTCAGAAGACTATGTACTTTCATCTAGGTAATCAGCTTGGGACACGGCCTGACCAGAGCAATCAGGGTTTCAGACTGTCTTCACAGCAATTCCCTGGGCTTGTATACGAAAGAAATGGAAAAGTCTGAACTCTTTATAAGGTAAGATGTATTAGTGAAGACTTCCAGATTCGCAGAGAAAAACAAAAACAAGGTGGGTTACAGAACAGACAATGAAAAAGCTTTATAATAATACTTAGAGTGACTTCAGACTGCCAGAAGAGCAGTAACGTATGCCCAGTAGAATGGTAGGAGAAACGTGACTAATAAAACCAAGTTAACTTGCTTGCCAATTTCTGGAGGAAAGAAACTATTGTTACCTATGACCACTGAATGGAGAAAACTGTAGATAATTAATGGTGTTTTGGCACAGCTGATGCTAAGCCGGCTCATGATCTCTCTGGGCACCAACACACACAGATATGAGTGAGAGAGGTAACAGCCACATATTCTGTAATTATATTTTTAAAAAAGAGTGAGGGGTTCTTGATAATTATATCTTGAAGAAAAAAATACTGTGGTGTATCACCAAAATCACTTATGGTGAAGAAGAGGCCAGCCCTTCAGATCAGGAGGGTGCAGGGCACAGGTTCTATGCTGGATGGTCTGGAGACAAAGGGAGCAACATCCCATCAGAGGCCCTGCTCCCTGGATGACACACTGAAGGAAAAAGGACAGGGCAGTTTTAGGGGGAGAAAGTGCCTGTTACTGAGTGACAACTAACCATCCTGGGGGCTGAGGCCCTCTGCCCTGAGGATGACGGTCCCTGGAGCATGGTATAAGGAACAAGCTGACTGCGCTCCCAGGGCTGCTACAAGGATTTACCATTTTAACACCATGACAGGGTATGTATATATAAACACAGGTGCAGGCACTAGAAGACAGACATATCCAGCATATGACCCAAGCCAGGGACGGGTGGCTCACTATGACTTTGTCAAAATGGGGCTTTATTTTTAAAATAAAGTGTTTACTAAGCATTCTAGTAAGGCACTGTGCCTGAGACAGGAGGGAGACAGAGAACAGAAAACACAAAACAAGCAGGCGACAAAACAAGCAGGCATGGCTTCCACCCTAGCAGAGCTCAGTTTTAGAAAAGACACAAACAAAAGGGGGGAGGGACAAAGCCCAGACATGAGGGAGCACCTGGGGCCTCGTGATGACCGTCTAAGGGGCATCTTGGCCCTTCTAACAACTCTGCAAACTTGGGGTTCACTGTCAAGCCATCTAGTGCCACACATCACCTTCACTCTCCTGGAAAGTCTCCCACACCTCCACAGAGCTCACCAACTTTGTGGCAAACTGACTCTGTGACTGTACAGTTGGCTGCAAAAGTCAGGCATATGAAAACCAAAGAACTCACTGCTTCCTCTGAAACATGCCTTCCACCAAGTCCAGAGCTGCACTGCCCAATGTGGCAGCCAAGGTCCACACTGAGCTACTGCAATTGCAATTGCAATGGAAAAAAACATGGTCCTTACTTGCATAAGCCACATTTCAAAAGTGCTCAAAAGGCACATGTGGCTGGTGGCGACCAGTTAGTGCAGATACAGACCATTCCATTATCGTAGAAAGTTCTTCAGGATAGTGCTGCTCTAAAATTTAGGATTTATTTTGGTGTGGGATGGGGAAGGATGTAACAACTTTCTTTTTCCCTCCTTAATAAACATCAATATTTGAGATTTTTACAGCCAAGATACGTTCATGTGTTACTTACAGGATTTAAAAAAAATAATACAACTTACTATAACAAATGTTTATGAAAGATCTGAAAGCATTTAACCAAATATCACTGCACAATCTCCCCTCCCACACTCTAGTACACCTCCTTCACCTCAGCCCTGCGGGTGGACAGGCTTACCTTTGGAGTGTTTTCCTACAGTCCTCTTGGGCAGCGACTCCTCAGTGGAATGTGCTGATGTACGTAGTGCATTCTCCAAACTATTACTCACACTGGTGACAGGGGTCTCAGTTCTTGGAGTGACCTAAAGGGACAAAAATATAATCATTGTACCTTCTTCCATTTGGTTCATATAGAATGGTTTTCATGGTTATTTAAAAGTCATTTATGTTTATTATCGTTTTTAAATTTTTCTACAAAACATGTCTTACTAGTGTAATAATATGCACTTTCTATAAAAGACAAAAGTTTCACCCATCTACTACTTACCACCAAAATTTTAAAATAGCCCAGGGAACTTTAGGCAAACATGGGAATTTATGTCTCGTGGTTCACTTGACTGGATAAAACTATGTCAGCCAAGTTGTCACAATTATAACTTATAAAATTAATTATACAGCAGGACTTAATGCTGTCCTTTCACAAATCTTGAATAAATCATAAAATGCTCTAAAAACAATAGTAGAGAATGAAATATACCTGGATCTAGTTGAAGGGACATTTTACAAAAGCATATTCTGAAATTATATTTACAGTTCCGTTTTTAGGAATTCACCAAACTAAGTGCTCACACGTGAAAAAGATGTGTGGTGAGAGGGGGGAGGATGCTCGCTGCAGCATGTGGAACAGTGAAAGGTAGAAAGCATCTGAAATAGCCGCCAATCGAGAGCCAGCTAACCAAGGACAGCGCATCCACTGATGAACTATGTGCAGTCATAAAACTACCATGGAAGCTCACCAGCATATGGAAAGAGTAAACAAGCCACAAAGTGTCATTCCACCCCCTCCTCCTTTGCTCTGGTTTAAAGCGAATGTGTGTGTGTATGAAAATGAACAGAAAGAGGTCTGGAAGAATATGGCAAACCCTGAACTGTAGTAACCTGAAGAGAGGGAGGAGGGAGGGAGAGGAGACTCTTTTGGGTGGGGTGGGGAGGATGCAATAACTTTTATTTTTTCCCCTTAGTAACAACGTTGTATTTGAAAATTTTATATACAAAATATATTAACGACCTAAGAGGATTTAGAAGAAAACAGCAACCAATGCTTTAACTTCTTTGGAGTCACAGTTAAATGCATATCAAAATTCAAATAATAAAAGAAAAAGGTTAAGATTTTAAAGTTTAACAAAAGAGGTGTGAGTTTTCACAGGTGGAGAAGCACTACACTACACACACAGTGAAAGGGAAGAGCAGCGTGACTCTCAGACCTGATTCTTAAACAGACCTGACTTGAGACACGTGTGTCCCCCTGAGCTGTCTGGCCCTCATTCTCATTAGCTTACCTGGAGAGCAGGTGGGAGCTGATCAAAAGAATCTATAAGTGCACTGCAAGTACAGACCCCATCACCACCATAAGGCTCTGGAGGCAGGGGCCCTGAGGCAGAGGCAGAAAGCTGTGGGGAGTAGGGAGATGGCCACCCCTCATGCAGGGCTGGGTTGGCATTTGCTACATGAAATACAGAGCAACATCCAATCATTCACAGAGAACTGCAGTAAAACCACATGCCACATATACAACAAGCTCTCTCTACTCCCATCTTTGTCAGAGCCACTGGAGCAGGAAGGCCTCCCTGCTTTGTGCAGACACGTCTCGCTGTGCAACTCACAGCACACCACTGACAGGTCCTGGGCCACACGAGAGATACCGTGCATGACAAGGATCTCATCACAAGTCTAGGTAACCTGGCAGTTAATATAACTCAAGAAAATGACCCCACTGATCTAATACCTCCCTAAAAGTCAATTCTTTTGATAACATTACAAAGGTGTTAGTTATCAAGACAGTTAAGAATTTAAATCACTTAAATAATTTAACTGAATTGGATTGTTCCCCTTAGATTTGGCAAAGTTTCTTTCAACATCCAATGTCAGAGTACTCCAGAAATGAATTTCTTTCCTATTAAGATAATAGAATAGTAGCTCAGTGGATTGAGTGCGGGCTGGGAACCAAAGTGTCCCAGGTTCGATTCCCAGCCAGGGTACATGCCTGGGTTGCAGGCCATAACCCCCAGCAACCGCACATTGATGTTTCTCTTTCTATCTCCCTCCCTTCCCTCTCTAAAAATAAATAAATAAAATCTTTAAAAAAAAAAGATAATAGAATAGGTACAAGTAATTACTCAAAAAGCACATTTTTAGTTCCAACAGTAAATATTACTATGGGAAACAACACAGGAAGTTAACATTTATAACTACATAATTAACATAACCACAGCAGATTCCATCCTATTTGGCCTGACTAATACTAACCCTCATGTTGTTTTAGCTACCCTGGTAAGTAATTCTAAATCCTGGTCCCAAGAAGAGGCTGAGCTGCCTGGATCAGTGACAAACCTCTCCTGCCCTGAGCTCGCACACATGGCCGCTATGTTGTTCTCTACACATACTGCTTGCTCACCCTGAAATATCCCCAACAACCACAAACAGAAAACCAGGCACCCAACTCTCGGCCTGCAGGCAGGAGGGGAGAGAAAGGCAACAGGTGAGTGGAAGAGAATATGTTTAATGCATTTAATGCTGTGGCCAGGAGAATACAGCTTGTGAAATAAGTGCATTGGACTGAAAGGGTGGTTTCTGACCGTGGCTGCATTCAGAACCTCCAAGGCACTAGAAGAACATATACCACCACCAAGTCCCACACCCCCCCATTAAATCAGAGCTTCTGGAGTGGGGCTGGCACACTGCTTGTGGTATTTTGTTTTGTGTGTTCAATTCCCCAGGTGATGCTAATTGCAACCAGGGTACAAAGTACTGATAGCCCCATGGCCAGGTTTCTGACTGTACCCATCACCTTGTCAAGTCTCAGCAAAGTCAAGAGAAAACCCAGAGAGAACCGGAAGCTCCTCTTGTGGATTGACAGGAAAAGCTAAAAGGTGTGTTCAACTGTCATGCTACAAAGAGAAAGGTAAAACCTCTGAGTTACCCTTTCAAAACATACCCACTGCATCTGACATAAATACATGAAAGAAAACTCTTTAAAACTGTAACTACTAGAAAAGAAGTATTTGTTTTCCTTAATATTTTTTCCCCTAAAGCGTTTCTTCTTAGTCTTCCAAATGTTCACTTTTTCACAAAGCCTTTATCTTTATTTTGCTCCTTTGTTTACATTGAAAGCTGTCTCCACTTGCTTTTCCCAGAAATGCTGTTTTGGGGTTATTTTTGGTTAAGTTAATTTGCCCATGTGACCTACGCGTTCAACTCAGATGCTCTCTGACTCATGCTCACAGAGCGGAGCTCCAGTCATCAGCTCAATGTGCATGAGAATGAAGACTTGATCGGTTCCAAATGTCGTCTTCTGCTACTGCAAGGAAGGCAAGGAGAAAAGCCTCTCCAAACACAGTGCCCAACTCAGCCATGATGGATGTTTTCCATTAAGTTCAAAGTCTTTTTTTATGCAAGCGCCTTGCTTTATTTCTAAATGAACACTCGGTATGCACCCCCAGCCTAGCTAACCACTCTGTATCTGCACAGCCCGCCTCTCCTATGAGCTACAAGGGCCTGGCTCCTGTCATCTCCCGCGTCTCCCCCGTGCTCAATGCACTGCAGCCACCAAAGGTAGACTCAGCAGCCAGGTTCTGCTTGGAGGCCTTCACCCTGGCTGTACCCTCTGCCTGAAAAGGCCCCCTCATTGCTGTCACATCTACACTGGCATGTCACCTTCTTAGTAAGGACTTCTCGAAGCTCAGTGAGGCAGAGACATTTTGTCTTTGTTCACTGCTGTATCCTCTACACTTTAAACAGTGCTTAGCACAAAAAAGGCACTTAATACATAACTCTATCCACCAAAATTTTAATGAAATTCAGGCTTCGCCTAACAGAAAAGCACCTCTAATTCAGAGTAAAATTCCTGTAGTCTAAATTATATACTACACAATCATCAGAGTGTTTCCTCAGGTCTAATAAAGGACTGACAAAGCTTAGGTCATGAATGAAACCTGACTCTGAAGTGTGCTACTAGTCACGAGGCACACACTCTATTCTGTGGTTCTGCCAGGAAAGTGATTCTGCTTTGACATTTGCCACACACCTAGGGAGACCATAATGGCTATAAAGTCCCACCACCTGGACTCACAGCTCGCACCCTGGCTCTGAGACAGCAAACCTTCTCGTTGTCACAGCTATTTCAATAGAGACTAGGCTTCTGATTCCAAACTTTAATGTGCAAAATGCCTCCAGATCTTGTTAAAATGCAGATTCTGATTCAGAAAGTCGGGGAGGGGGGTTGGCTAAGATTCTGCATTTCTAACTAGCTCCCAGGGGATGCCAATGTTGCCAGAGTATTTCAACATAAAGGAGTTTATCATGATCAGAACATTCACAACCTCTTTTTTTTTTTTAATTTATTGATTTTAGAGAGAGAGAGGAAGGGGAAGAGAGGGACTGAAGAAAGGAGGGAGGAAGGAAAGGAGAGAAAGGGAGAGAGAAGGAAACATCAGTTTGTTGTCCCACTTATTTGTGCATTCATTGGTTGATTGTTGGATCTGCCCTGACCGGCATGGAACCCGCAACCTTGGAGAATCGGGACAACCAACTGAACTACCCAGTCAGGGCTTCACAACTTTTTAGGCAGGATGTAAAAATAAATCCAGCAGTGTGTAGAGAATTGGATCAGATGAACTCAAAGGCCCCTTCCAAGGGTGAGGCATCAAGATGACAACCATATAAACCATCACCCTAGAGAAGGGACGTGTGTTGGACAGTATGACTCCTGCTAATTCTCTCTCTCAGATATTTACACTTTTCTTTAAGGGTTTTCCTCAGTCCATGAATCTGATGACATAGAGACCTAGTGCTGCATAGTCTACTTTAAAGCTTTGTGTTTAAAACTCACTTTAGTATTCATGGACCAGAACCACAATTTTTAGAAGAGAGTTTTAATGAAAATCTATTTCATTAAAGATCAGTCAAAGTCATCCAAATGGGGCATGCTAACATGCACTTGGACTGAAGAAGAACCCCAAAACACAGGTAAGCTGACTAGGGCCCCAAGTCTGCAAAAGTCTTATTTCATGCCACCAACGGGCATTTGAAATGGCTCTGAAAATGGCAATAAGCACCAGAGCAGGGGTTTTTTACTTTGTGAACA